GCAGGTTTCCTGTTATCGCCCGTAGCAAAATAATTTATGTTGAAAATTGGCAAAATGGTGGAAGCTTAAATTAAAAATTGCAAATATTTTGTCATTTTTTCTGCAACTTTTTAGTAAAAGTATATGATATACTTTTCATAAAAATATAATTTATATACTTTCAAAAAAAAATTGATTTTTTTGAGGTCCCACATGAGACTGCCCCCTTAATCTTGAAAATTGGATAATTAATTGCAACGTAACGACCCCGTCAATTTCAATCACCTTTAAATATTTTAGTATCATCCGATCGACGATCTTCGAATTTTATAAAACTTTATCGAATGGGATGGTGCATCGAGAAATGTTAGCCACTTTTTTTGTACTTTTTTTAGGGGCTTAAAAATGATAATGAAGATAGAAAAAAATTATTAGTATATTATTCACGATTTTCGTATATTCGTTTTAAAAATTGGAGAGGTTCTCCAGAAAGGTAGAGTTGCTATTTCTGTTCGAATTCGCGACGAAACACGAGGATCGATTCAGACTAATAACAGAAAATTACTAGCGACGGTAGGGGCAAGGAAGTATTATTGCATAATGGATGATAGTCTGCGACAAGAGAGGGTGAATTCAGTGAGTTCGTGCTGATACGTCATGATTCGTAGAAACACTATAACCCCTAGACAAAAAGGAAACACGCAATGCAACTGCATGTCTGAGCGCCAATTTCCCCTGCAATTGCGAATATATTGACACGCGTCTTGCATAAGACAAATATATTTCTCAACGATAAAAGTTACTTTGTTTTATGTTTTCTCCTTTAAATTCAGTTTAATGACGGGGCATTTTCTGTTTTTTCAAGATTGCGAAACCAACAATTACTCTGTTCTTTTATTACAATAGTTTTATGCTAAGGGGGGAGACTCATGTAAAATGGTAAAATGATATTTGACAATTTTTTTATAGCATTAGGGTTTGATGAAACTTCTTGTCACTTTCCACATATATTCTTTAACATTTCAAGATATAAATATTTTTTTTTCGTTACGTTTTATCGGCTTTGGATGAAATAATAAATGTTTAAATTAAACAAGAAAACTCTTTCAAATATCGTTCATTTACAAAAAGATCGAAGCAACTATCTAATTTTGAAACACAATAGAAAATGGCTGTAGAATGATAAAAATAGTCATAAATATACAATAAATTCCCAAAGCATCGTTTGAATATAAATTATAATATTATAAATTATAAAAAAAACTCTTTCAAATATCGTTCATTTACAAAAAGATCGAAGCAACAATGTTATTTTGAAACACAATAAAAAGTGGCTATAAAATGACAAAAATGGTCATAAATATACAATAAATTCCCAAAGCATAGTCTGAATATAAATTATAATACTATAAATTATAAAAAAATCTCTTTCAAATATCGTTTTTTTACAAAAAGATCGAAGCAACAATATAATTTTTAAACACAATAATAAGTGGATATAAAATGACAAAAATGGTCATGAATATACAATAAGTTCCCAAACTATAGTCTGAATATAAATTATAATACTATAAATTCTAAAAAAAATTCTTTCAAATATCGTTCCTTTACAAAAAGATCGAAGCAACAATGTAATTTTGAAACACAATAAAAAGAATATATAAAATGACAAAAATGGTCATAAATATACAATAAGTTCCCAAACCATAGTCTGACTATAAATTATAATACTATAAATTATAAAAAAAACTCTTTCAAATATCGTTCTTTTACAAAAAGATCGAAGCAACAATCTAATTTTGAAACACAATAAAAAGTGGTTATAAAATGACAAAAATGGTCATAAATATACAATAAGTTCCCAAAACATAGTTTGAATGTAAATTATAATACTATAAATTATAAAAAAAATATCGTTCCTTTACAAAAAGATCGAAACAACGATCTAATTTTGAAACACAATAAGAAATGGATATAGAATGATAAAAATAGTCATAAATGTACAATAGTGTCCCAAAGCACAGTTTGGATATCACTATACAAAACATTCTGTATTGTCGTGGCTTGAATAGTCACACGAATCGTATTGAATAGCATTGTACTATGGCGACCTTTCTACCGCGTATTGCACTCTTTTTCACATTTTCTTATCTGTCTAGTGCTGAGCTTATCAATAAATCAGTTACTCTTTTCCCTCGGTTTCTATTCTCTCTTCCACGACCCTCCTATTTTCTCTTCTACCCTTACATTTCGTTATTTTCTTCCGAGTTTCCAACCTATCTTTCACAAATAAAATCCTGCAAGTATTTAATTGCAATTACCTGTTTCTGCTTACAGAATAAGTAAAGAATAATATTCAAGCGTCAATTCGAATCTATCGAGTTGTGATTTAATTATATATGCGCGAAACAAATACACTCTTATTTCATATGAATTCAGAAACATTTTTATTCCATCAAAATTCACGACACACACAATCAATTAAACAAACATTTAAAAAATTGAATAAATAGTATTCAACAAGTATCTCAACACTCGACTGTATTTCGTTAATACGTGATAGATTCATCTTCCTATTATTTAATAATTTGTTTACAAATATAAAACCATTTAACAATGATACAACTATATACATGGAGAGAGGGACAAGATAAATTAGATGGAAGAACGTTTCTATTATATAATTTATGACTACCTTTTACAATATTCTAAGTGTATGTAGTTGCAACCCCGCGGAATTATATTTAGTATTCACCCTAGAATCGAGAAAACTTTTCAAATATAAAACTAACCATACTCCTCCCTTGCGTGTAGTAAGAATTTCTCGAGAATTGCGTTCTCACTGCTTATCGGTTTCGTCGATTGCACCGTCGAGCGAGTCTAATGGACTTAAAATGTAACGTGCTCATCGTAAACGAGGGAGAATATTTTTGAATAGGGGGTAGGTTGCACGCTCAGCGCTTGAACTCTTTAAAATATTTATCCAAACTCTTTTACGTGCAATTTTGCTTCAGAAATGTCCTGCTTCTCGACAACAACAAAATTATCTAGAAATTTTACCAAAGGTTTTCTCGTTAACGATTACACGCGAGACATTACGAGTGAGAATCGTTATTGTTTTCAACATATGCGTTGATGAGGGATAGAAAAAAGTTACGATAAAATTTCTTCGCTAAATTATCGTTTTTTAATAGCTGTTGTATCTGACGTCAAAGGCAGCGAGGATATGAACGCGAATAAATATTTAAGGAAGTGAACTGTCTTTTTTCAGACAAGTTGAATGGTAACGATCTGACGTGCTTCGATGACGGAGATAAAACAAGGATGTGTTATATACCCATCACATGTAGAGTGAATATATATTTCATACGGCACGGCATCATAGTGACGTCTTTAAACGGACACGATTGTTATCGTTGTCTACGTACTGCCTGATCGATACCATTGTGCCAGGCGTTTTTGCTTTGAGCTTCAATTTGGCCTCGTTTCAGGAACGAGCGTTCTCGATTCTCTCTAAAAAGTAAGCAGCCGTTGCAGTTTCGATTAACTGTTCGTATTTGTTTTCGATACCGAGCGTGCACCTTTAATATCCTTTAATTTTTAATTAACGATCCGAAATGAGGAACGCGTAGCAAAAAAAATAGAAAATAATATCGTTCGTTAGTCCTGTTCATCTTCATGAAAATACTGTAACATCTTTTCTAAGAAAATTTCATGCGTTCGAAAAAATGAGATTTACGATCACGAAGGAACCATCTTTGTAAGCGAAGTATCAAATTCTTGATATTTTTGGCATCCGTGTAAGAGTGTTTATCATTTTTCATATTTGGTGAGTGTTACATAATGCATCATACACAGCACGAGCTGAATCACCATTTATTTATGTTAATTTTCAGTTGACTGAGTCATGTCTAATAATGCTATCGTTGCTTTAGTTTCGAATGCTAAAACTTTGTTCATTTTTAACCCTCGTAAAATAGGCGCTAGAACAAATTTTTACGTGAGAATATTATTTATTTTTGTTCTATGTTATGATTCTGCGTTAACAATGATGAAACACAAAATCATTTACGGGGGACGAAAATATATACGTAAATTGTAAATGAAGAATATTCTTGCAATTCTGTTCAATTATTAAAGTGGAGAATAGTGCATTTTTTGTTGGTTTTATACAAAATATTCAATAATTAAATAAGAAGAATAAACTTAGATTATTTTAATATTATTTATTCGTATAGTCTTGTCGTTTTCGAAAATACCTCTCGAACAAAGTTTTTGCAAGCACATTTCCTTAGGAAAATTCTTCTCTGCGTCGAGTACTGGACTTCGTAGCCTGTGCCGGAGTCATTTCTGACTCACACCGACATTCCACTAATACAGATATAATTTCTCTTGCTCGAAACTCGAGCTCACGCGTACACATGTACCAAACATTGACGGTTTTTCCTTCGACAGAACGTTGAAAAGGAACGAGGCCATTCGAAAACACTCATAAACTAGAAAAGAAGACACTATGTTTTTTTTCTTTTTTTCATCTGTCTTGCTCGCAAACCCGTAATTAAAATTAATCCAACGAATCAGGCGGTGCGTGTCGAGAGAACAGCGACGAGTCAAAAGTGACTCCGGCACAGTACTCGGAGAGTTAAGGTTCATTGTTCCTCATCTCAAGTTTGATTATTTAATCCAGGAACACCTTGTATCGAGTAACCCTCCTTTTAAAAGCATACCGTGCAAAAAAAAGTGAAGCAAATTAACAGAAATATATGAAATTCGTTTTGAAGGGTGCAAACTGTACAAAAAGTAATTCAAACCATAGAAGAAGTGTTTCACATTCGCTGAAGCATTTTGTTTGGTCATTACATAATGGTATGTATTATAATAAACGTAATCTATAGAGTAAATATAATAAGACGTTGGAAAGAATTAATGAACCGGTACATAATGAAAAAAAGAAGACAGTAACGTCTCGTTAACAATCATTGTTAGAAAGGTGTTAAGTGGTAGGTCTGCGTGTGTTTCAGGCTGTGCTCGTTGACTCTGAGCCGATTGGTGATTCTACGTCCGTTAGGCTCCGATCTGACCTCCATCAGCATCGCCGTGAAGATGCAGAGCTCGAAACGGACGCTGCGCTCGAACGAGATGGCCATTCCGGCGAATGGTATGCTGGAGACCGACTTGGAGCTGCAGTTCGCCCTCCAGTATCCCCATTACCTGAAGAGGGACGGCAACAAGCTTCTGATACTGCTGCAGAGAAGGAAACGCTATAAAAATCGCACGATGCTCGGATACAAGACCCTAGCCGAGGGAATCATCAACATGGCTCAAGTAAGTCGATCGAACGAACCAACGTTCCTCTGTCCAGAGAGGGAAAGCTTCGCCCTTTGACAAACGGCCGTTAAAGGCGTCGAAAGCCGCACCGTTATAGCGGGGGCTCTACACTAGAGTTAACATTAACCCTTCGATATACGTGTATCGGATTCCGGTTTTCTAGATCGTACCGGAGGCGATAATGGAAAAAGAAAACGTCCCGCGACGCTCTGTGGTCGAATTTCCGGCCTGGCTTGGTTGCTTCTGCCTCCGACGTCGAAGAATCAATGTTTTGCAAACGTTTGAAATTGTTTGGGTACCTTTCCTCACTGACGAGAAACGAAAATACATTTTGCATACGTTACAATAACGATAATAATGAAAATAACGTTTCTGTTACGAGTACAAAAGAGAATACAGGAATGTTTACACGAGAGAGAACAATTTTTTACTAGTTAAATCTACTTTACATATAATATATTAAAATACAAATTTTTTTTTTTTACTTGGAATTTTGATACTATTCTTCATGTTTTTGTTGCAGTCAGTCATATTTATTTTTGTTGAATTATTACAGGTTTGTCAAAATTGTTTGGTAGTCAAATTTTACATAAAAAGCAGATAGTATTTTTCAATAGTGTTAAGTGAAAGAAATCGAATTATGCAGGATTTTAGGCCACTCCTGGGAAAAATTTTAATGGGAGATTCTGGGGGTTGAAATAAGACGAAAATCAAGAATACTAATTTGTTGATAGAGGCTTCGTTGAAAAGTTATTAATAATTAAATTCAAAAGTTTCAAATCGTTCTGGAAAAATTATTTTCGGTTGCGGGGGTCAATTACAATCATTTTTGGTAAATACACATACCTCCGAAATCCTACCCACTTTATAGAAAAAAAATCGGGTAGGTGGACAAAATCAACAAATTTAAAAAATTTCAAATCGTTCTGGAAAAAATATTTTTAGTTGTGGGCGTCAATTACAATCATTTTGGGTCATTACACATAGCCCCGAAATCCTACATACTTTCGAGAAAAAAATTTCTTATTGAAAATCTAGGTGCCTAAAAAAAAAATTTCAAATCGTTCTGGAAAAATTATTTTCGGTTGCGGGGGTCAATTACAATCATTTTTGGTAAATACACATACCTCCGAAATCCTACCCACTTTCTAGAAAAAAATTTGAGAAGATGTGAAATTTTCAACGAAAAAAAAAATTTCAAATCGTTCTGGAAAAATTATTTTCGGTTGCGGGGGTCAATTACAACAATTTTTGGTGAATAGACATACCCCCGAAATCCTACCCACTTTCTAGAAAAAAATTTGAGAAGATGTGAAATTTTCAACGAAAAAAAAAATTTCAAATCGTTCTGGAAAAATTATTTTCGGTTGCGGGGGTCAATTACAACAATTTTTGGTGAATAGACATACCCCCGAAATCCCGCGAATTTTCGAGAAAAAAATTCAGTACTGGTGGAACTTTAAACGTTAATAACTTTTTAACAAAGCCTTCATCAAAAAATTGGCATTCTTGATTTTCGTCTTATTTTGGCCACTAGAATCCCCCATTAAAATTTTTCCCAGAAACGATGCAATATTTATTTAATACTTATAATTGCATTAAAAGGGGTGATTTCTCCCTTGAACTACAAAAATCACACCAAATATAGCAGAGATTCATCAAAAACTCTTCTAATTAACGTATTATAATTATACTTCATACATGTATGAATAATTTAGAAAAGGTTTCAGTTGCTTCAGTTCATTGTTAATTAAAAAAAATATTCACGATTGTTAAATTTTTGCGAATCAAGAAGTGATAAGGGAATATATAACAAGTTACTTGATAATGGATATTCGGTGGTTATAAATATAATAAATTTATCGTCTGAATAAAATAGAAATCGTTAAACTATAAATATATTTTTGGAAGATTGTGAAATTTTAGACGCTGATAATAGGAGAGGAATATAGCAACGTAGGTGTGTTTTTGCAAGAAACCTACCCCTTTCTATCCATTACCGCGAACGTATTAATTATAGCGGATCAGTGAAATGCAACGATGAAACAAACGAAGCCCCACGAGAATTATAGATTACATTATAGATAACACATCAATATCATTTATTTGATTTGACGTTTGACTATGCCCAGGGACGTCACATTAGCGCTGCATGGAGAGTATTTTAGACCGTAATCCTTTGGAAAAGCATTTCAATGTTTCGCCAGTATTGCAGCTACAATCAGGTCAGAATGCTCTGATTAGTCGATGTTGATTTAACTTTAGCTTGATTGGGCATTTAAGGATTTGTTGGTAGAATCCCGATAAATGCTCCGTTTATTTTGAATGCGTTGTAAGTCCATTTTCCTTCGTTTTAAGATAATGAATTGTTTGCGTTCTCATCGATCTTGAAACATCCAGATAAAGTCTGCTTGGTTTGTACAAATTTCTATCAGCTCGAGCAGACGTAAATTCACTGAACAAATTCGAGGATTAACCGGACCACGAACGTATTTGCGCCAATATCAATATTACTGAATTGTTATTTTGTGTTTGCAAGGTCTTTAAAATTATTCACAACATAATCTGGATCGTATTTTTACCTGTTGGCCGATAAAAGTTTTCTCGTTTGCTCGAAACGCAGTTCGTTAATTTATTTGCGTCAAACTCTCTTCTGCGGAATTAAAATTCCGTTCGATGCTTGGGAACTAAATTCCATCGAAGTTGAAGAACCGTAAATATTCGAAGCTACTTCGTGTAAAAATAGCCGACTGTTAATGGTTCCAGTTAATATTCTTTTTATTTTTTTTGATTCTTGGTTGTTGTTATTTCACCGTCTACCAGCATTCTCGTATCTTTCTCTTGGAATTTGAAATTTTCTGCATTCGACCGTGGTTGGTCGATATAATTTGGTTGCAGATGTTGCAAAAAGGTAGTTTCGTTTCTTTTAATCAGATATTCGTGTGTGGGCACACTTCCATGTTTTCGTTATTTATTGCTACTAATTTGAATTTCGATGTTAGGTTTGCAGCCGTTTCTTTACTGTCCAAGTGCATACATGCAAATTCTCCCGTTTGAAATTCTCGAAAATAATTTTATAGCTTTAGATCCTGTGAAGATTTTGGATCAGTTAAATTTCTTCGGTGAATAGTTTAGTTTATATCCATTTGGGAAGGATTTCTGCGTTCAGAAGTCTGATTACGGTACGCAGTATTATTAAACACATCCTATCTCGTCGATAACCAGAACGATACTGTTAATATTCTATGATTTATTCTATACACAGTTTCTATACACACGAACATTAATTAGATTTGCAATTTATGAATGAACATTGAAACGTAACGTTTTGACCTTTAACAGAGCCTCGTTAGACTGTCTCGAATATGGCTTTTTCTATAATATACAGGATGTTTTAAAACAAGCGGTACAACCGTGCAAAAGTAAGTCGAAAATGTAAAATAAAATTATTCCGTATTTTCCTTTGCTTTCGAGATAATTGAATTATTATCGGACAAAATAAGAAAAAAGACGACCCATCGACCGTAAAACAGAGAATAGATCGATAAGTATGGTGTTTCGAATCGCTCCAAACGTGTAAAATGACTGTCTCGATGGCTTTTAAAGTTTCGAAAGTCTCGATCGCCTTAGAAGTTTTGAAAGTTTAATATTATCTTGCAAGAAAGTCTGGAAAGTTGAGGTTATCAACTTCAAATATCTGCAGTACTTGTTACAAATTATGAACTTTGATATTTTGTAAACGTGAAAAAGAAAATATGGTATAGACTAGGATTATTGAAAGAATAAAATAGCTTACAAAGTATGTATTATTTAATCGGTCGACTGTCGATAGTTTTAGACTTCGAATTTCCCGCCATTTTAAGGATTCGAGATCTCATCATTATCGATAAGAATCGTTAACTTTTTAGCACCGTGCTTGACAAATTAGAATCGTATAATTTTGCAGTGTCTTACAGTGAATTAACTCGTCATGGAAATTAAAAAATTACACTCTTACAGGAAGAGTCCATGCATCATATATTTTCCCATCGCGAAGGCACTATATCTTCCAATGTTTTAACGCTTATCTTTTGTTTATACTCATGTGCCTCACGCCAGGATGGTTGTTTCAACAATCTCTTGGCAACAATAGCGTGCAAAGTTAACGGAACAGATTCCATATGTCTTACATCAAGAATTATGTTTATCCCAAAACCAACACGTTACGTAGACAGGCAATTTACAAGTTGTATATCAAGTTCAGTATCAAACACTAATGTTACTCGAAAGTCCAAACTACGTTGAAAGGTGGAGATTTGCGAGGGATAGAAATGTTGATGATTCATCTGTTAGCACTATATTGATAGTTCGGTGAAGTTCGAACAAATTAACTGGAAACTTAAATTCCCATAAATCGAAAAATGTAATGAAAGTTTCTGTGGGTGGAGAAATGCATGAAAATACCTTTGATATTTACGACGCTATCAAGGAGCTGTGTGATTTAAGATAATTAATATTTGTAGGTTTGCTTGATAATGAAACTATACAGAGTATTTATAAAATATTCAAATTTTAAGTTAAAACAATTAAGGACCTTTCATCATATTTAAACTGTCACCAAACCTTTCAAATTGTCCATGAAAATGAAACTTTATTTTTAGACAATTGTATTATATTTTGGGAAAGGCCACCATTAACATGAACGTATTTGATGTAATTAATATTACTTTAATAATGCTTTAATATTACATAGTGTAACTTTTACGGAAATAAAAAAAAGGGGCATGATATTTCACCATCGAGTACTACGAATATTGTAGGCGTCGCGCGGGGAAGCCCCATTCGAATAAGTCTAATAGATAGCAACACTGCATTCCTCAACAATTTGAAACTATCATATCCAAAGTTTGTTATAGAACTTATTTTTACAACTTCGTTACAATTTAAGCGTCCTAGATTTATTTTTGAGAATTGTTGAACATGCAAACGCGCCCTATCTTTCTTTCTGGGTATGGTTGGGCTGCTGCCCCCCACCCTTTTTCCTTTCTTCTAGACTCTCCTTGGATTGTCGTCTTTTGTCTCACCACGTGTTGTACTGCTGTATGTTATTTTATAAATAAATATTCCATTTTGTCTTTTACCATTTAGTCAATATGGTATTTATAGCAAGAGTAGACTCTCAGGATTGTGTCAGCAAAATTAGAAAATAATCTAACGATGCATACAATATTTACAACGTAACATTTCTGGTCAGACATTATATTTTCGGTAATGAATTTTTTTCTCAAAAGTGTGTGGGAATTCGGGGATATGTGTATTCGCCAAAAATGATTGTAATTGATCCAAGCAGCTAAAAATAATTTTTTTAGAACGATTTGTAATTTTTTAATTTTGTCGAAAATTTCAGTACCTACTCGAATTTTTGTCTCAAAAGTGCGTAGGATTTCGAGGGTATGTCTATTGACCAAAAATCATTGTAATTGACCCCCACAACTGAAAATAATTTTTCCAGAATGATTTGACATTTTTTAATTTCGTCGAAAAATTCCACATCTACTCGAATTTTTTTCTCGAAAGTGGGTAGAATTTCAGGGGTATGTCTATTCACCAAAAATTCTTGTAATTGACCCCTGTAATTTAATACAATTTTTTCAGGACGATTTGAAATATTCCATTTTGTCTTTTACTTAATCTGGATGAAGAACATTGTTTGAACCTACAAACTAACAAGAATTAATTTTTTTAGCTCCTTAGTGAAAAATCTCATCAAGCTGTTACATTAAAATGCAGTTTTTCTTTTAATCAGAATATATATTCATATAATTACATCAATGAAATTCAGCATAAATCGCTAAGAAACAATATTTATTCAAAATTTATCAAATTGATATGTAAACCTAGTGTTCTAAGAATATTAAATATAGAATTTACTCGATCAACGATATATTGAAATGGACCCATTCCAAGGATTGAGAATCCTATTTATAATATTTAATTATTATATTTATTAGAAATTCTTGGTTAAGTATGATTAATAGAAATTCAATACGGAGTGCAAATAAACTTCTAAAAATTAGAATACAAGGAGGATAATTTAAGGATTTATTTAGGACACTCTGTATCAAAGTGGAACAAATTTTATTTTCGAATAACGAATAAAAAAACTAGCTTTTGTCCTTTGCTCGTCCATTGGTTTAAAAAATTCACTAATAGATTCCAATATATAAATGTTTTTATGAATGAAACGTACATAGAAGTTAATTTACGAATCGATCTGATAAAATGTGTCCTTTGTTCTGCATAAAAGCATAGAGAGCTTGTTAGACTCGGAGCACTCGTCGAAGGGTTAACAGCAGAATATGCGAAAAGATCGGAAGCTCATAGTCCCTGCTATGCATAAAATGATCCTGATGCAACGTGTCGTCAGAAATCTCAGTCTGCTAATCATTGTCATTCGCGTTTCTCGGTTCGCAGGTACTACAGAAGCAAATGGACTTGGAATTGGAGCTGGTGTCGGACAAGGCTGAGAAATATGGCGGCCATTCTGTCGCGTTGGCCCGCGTGAGCGTTGTGGCGTTGAGCTCGCAACCGGTAGACCAGGACAAAAGACTGATGAACGATCCAAACGAGAGGCTCTGCCCTGAATACAGCGACGAAGAGGAGGAATTCAGTTCGGAGGGCGAGGCGGAGGGCAGCGACAGCGAGCCCACGCTCGAGATGCACAGGCGGAAGAATCGTGGAAAGATCCCGACCAACGCCAGGGTGCGTGAAACGAATCAGTTCTGCTTTGTTAAACTACCCCATCGTGTCGAGTGGCTCGATTCTATCGTCCAAGACATTACAGACATTTCTTTTACTCATAGGATTAGACGTATGTATCGAACACTGTGGACGAGCACGTTTCTCTGCTTTGCTTGATGGCGCTTTTCTTTATGTAATGGCGGCGCACAGTCGTATTTTGCTGATCTGTCCCATAAGCTGCAATTAGATCGTCCCATATGTTCCTTTTGTACTAGAACTTAAAAGCAATATTTTGAACATATAACTGGATTTTCTGAAAAACTGTAGACCTCTTCTAGGCTCTTATAAGCCACTAATAAGGCTGGAGATTGTTGTATTTTATTGTAAGGTTCGGTTTTATTACATGCTAAGTCAGTGTGGATTCCAAACTTCGAGCTTTGACACAATATTTATTTCTCTCGAAGTATAAATTTGTATAAATCCTCGTCAGTTTCAGAATATCGAACGGCACGAACTTATGGGACAACCTAATATTTTTACCAAAAGGTGTATTTTGATACCTTTGTATTTAGTTGGAAATAACGTGTGTAATTATGTGTGTAATTATGACAGTCTTTAAATAAACCCGTTTATAATGGAACCAACTACAACGGGAGCTCATTTATGATCATTTGAAACGCGATCATCCGAAACAAGTGACTGCTAGTAGCGATTTTACTTCGTCTACGACAGTTTACGACCGTGGATATTAACACTTCAGCAACCGTACGTGCTGCGTTAGCACCTTATTAGAAGCTGTACGCGTAATAACATGCCATTTTTAAGTAAGGTCCTTTGAAAACGCAACGTATCATGTCGGCTTAAAACCCTTAACCAAGTTTATTAAAATATTATATTACGCTTTATGCTTGATAAAATGACTAATGAAAGTATTCGAACGCTTAGATTTACGACCTTTAGCACATTAAACATGTATGTTAAACTAAAGTGTTTAACACAACATGGTATTTATAGCAAGAGTAGAGTCTCAGGATTGTGTTAGCAAAATTAGAAAATAATCTAACGATGCGTACAATATTTACAACGTAACATTTCTGGTCAGACATTATATTTTCGGTAATGAATTTTTTTCTCAAAAGTGTGTGGGAATTCGGGGATATGTGTATTCACCAAAAATGATTGTAATTGATCCAAGCAGCTAAAAATAATTTTTTTAGAACGATTTGAAATTTTTTAATTTTGTCGAAAATTTCAGTACCTACTCGAATTTTTTTCTCAAAAGTGCGTAGGATTTCGAGGGTATGTCTATTGACCAGAAATCATTGTAATTGACCCCCACAACTGAAAATAATTTTTCCAGAATGATTTGACATTTTTTAATTTTGTCGAAAAATTCCACATCTACTAGAATTTTTTTCTCGAAAGTGGGTAGAATTTCAGGGGTATGTCTATTCACCAAAAATGCTTGTAATTGACCCCTGTAATTTAATACAATTTTTTCAGGACGATTTGAAATGTTTCAATTTTGTCGAAAAATTTATCCACTTATTGAATTTTTTCCTCGAAACTGGTTAGGATTTCAAGGGTATGTTTATTCACCAAAAGTGATTGCAATTGACCCACGCAACTGAAAATAATTTTTCCAGAACGATTTGAAATTTTTTATTTCGCCGAAAAATTTCTGCATATTTTTCTTAAAAATTTGTTTTTTATTTTTGATAAACACTACCATGGGTAGTGTATTAATACAATTTATTATTGAAAAATAAAATATATAAAATTCCTCAGAATTAAGGTCTTCTAAAAGCATAGGCGACATTAAATATATTCTATCCCGGAGAAATAGGATATTTTCATAATTTTCTACCCCTCCCTCTTTCTAGAGCTAACGGAAACGTTTTGGATGTTACAGCAAAGAAACTTAAAGCAAAAGTTCATAGCCCTCCTGAAGCGGCGATTTAGGGTCTCCGAGGATCTGGATCAGGACCAAGAGGAGATCGGGCAGAAGCTTTCAGGTAATTGGCCGTTGCTTCTCGAACAGGCGACAATCGATTTCATTAAATCGTTAACGGTACACGTTTTGGGTTTGTTGAAGGCGGAGACATGGAGATCGAGGAGTTGTTCGACGAACTGGAGGACTTATCGGACAGCGGTCCTGAACTGGACACTATGTCCATCAGCAGCACACCGAAACCGTCTCTGCGACCATTTTTCAGCTCTAGTCGATCCCTTCTCGCGCCACCTCATTCCGGTAAGTCGATGCCCAGCGTCAACGTGTTTTAGGTATCCGTAGAACTTTGTAACACGTGGTCCTCGGTTGGCGATACACAACAGTATCCGCAACGCTTCGTGCAACAAGTTACGCGCGTGAACGGTGTAACGTCGAGTGATAAAGAGTGTAACGATGCACGACCCTAAAATCAGTTTAATTATCGCTTCTGTTATATAGTTACACGGTAAGGATCACCAGGTATATTAAGTATTCAAAGAGTATTGGTATCGTGACTCGCTTCTGCTAGAGAGTAAAGAGTACATTTGCAGTTTAAATCGCACTTTCTACAAATTCACACGCGTTTCTACTTACCTGTGATTTTACAATGCAAATATGCTACGTATCTGCTTTAGTGGTTTACTCTCGACAGTCGTTATTAGTGGCCACGTTTTGGGTCACAAGAAGAAATTTTACTACCCTGTAAGGAGTTAGGAGACTAGAGTGGGGAGGCAAACACTCGATAGCCTTCTTCCAGCAGAGGGACAGCTCTTGATCCTCCTTGTATCGCTTTACATTTACATTTCTACCAGCTACTTGTTGTCCTAGCGAATGTACAATCTTTTGATTTTCTTCATTCACGCGGTTCATAAAGATTTCCTGGTATTTTCAGTTTGCCTCGGTAGGATATTCGAACAAAATGTGTTCAACCGTGACAAAATTTACAGAGTGGGTACACATCTTAGGTTTCTTGTATTGAATATTCATGAGTCGACTAACGGTTCTTAAACGACTGAGAACTTTTTGAGATATAGATTAGATAAACGCTTTTTGTCGTACTTGTTTTGCAGTACAGGACACCCGAAGGTCCTTCGTTCTCTTCAGCGAGGACACTCGTAACAGTTCTAGCTCCGTATACTCCTAATGCAACTGTTAATCCTGTTGAGCGAACAGAACTTAAGCTGCTCGCTATACGGGCTTTCGTAGTCTGATTTGGAGCGGATTAAATTTTCGTAAATGGCTAATATTATCTGCAATCCGATTGTTCGATGGGATTTTCAAATATTTGATTTTCTTCCATAGACAATGGCACAGTCCTTGGGGATAAAGTAATCGGTATTGTTTATGTAGGAATCGAGAAAAAGGGAGACAGGAGGTTACGATCCTCAGATTATTGACTAACCCGCCCTACTATCGACGCCATCGCTGTATCTCTGCCATTCCGTTCTTGAAATTTCCTTCTCTACGAGTATGGGGACTTTCGATTACACGTTTGCGTCCTAAAGGAGATCGTTCCATTCTATAATTTGGAATTTTTATGCTTTAAATCAAACAGTAATTGATTGCATTAATTACAGTGCATCTTTTACAAACAGTCGAAAGATATTTAATGAATGGATGGTTCTCCAGATAATACGATTCGTAGTAGATTACTGGAGAACTCGGTAAGGTTAGTCGAATAACCTTTGTGCTTGTCGCAATTGTCTTCTGTGCGGAGTCGATTGCTTAATAAAATTTACGAGAAACGAATTAAGCACTCAGCCATCCAATGGTATTGTGTAGAGTAGTGTTTCACAGAAGGACAATTGGAAACTTCTATTGCGTTCGTCTTCTACTTAGAAAGTATTTGTTTCCACCGAATAACATGTTTTAAATCTTCTTAAAAGATGATGTACATGTTTTCGTATTTACATATTTGAATCATTATTATTCGGTATTAACGAACTTTAACTAAAATTGTACTTATTAACAAATGTGTTAAGTAGTTTGTGGCAGAAGCAAAGCACAATATGGCGATTGTGGATGAGTCGTAACAAATTTTTAAGAGCTAATTCCCATCTGAAAGAACTTTTATTCTCATTTCTGTATCTAATCGAGTTTTGTTTTGGATAACGACTGTTCTATAAAGCAGATACGTAACATCGAAGACTAGAGGGTTCATCGACGTTTGTAGAAAGTGTACTCATCGTTTTTCGTTCACGATTCGGCCATACTGTTGACGTCTTGGCGATGCAGCATGATATGGCTGTTGCAATTTTCGATACCTTCCAGCAGGCCAAGTAATAAGTTCGTTTGAATTTTTAAACATTACTTGTTCCTCGTGTACTGTTACTTTTGTAATTTTAAAAATCCATTTCGTTTTTTTTATGTAATATTGGTGCAAAGATATATTATTGATATTACAAGCTAGTTTGATTGTACTTATAAATATTATTTTTGTCTATACTCGTATAAAATTCAAACAATAATATTCTATTCGTGTTCGATTCAAGTTACGAGTAGTTATGCTCTTACACGTACTAAAATGAATGTTTCTGTATTAAATATGCAAATATAAATCTGCAGAAAAAGAGTATAAACGAGCTTGTTACTTAGCCTGATATCTACACATATTTGATTTGAATTTATTTCATTTGATGAAAGTCTCGCAACCGGACGCTGTACGTTAAGGATAACTATTTGAAACTATAAATGAGTTCTTGGTTGTTTGCACTGCACAAGTAAATGTAATCGATCGATTCTAGGATTAATCGAAACAATTTAATTACAGTTTCCTTAACGAATGCCCCTACCATATCGCGTTTGTTTGTTACGAGTAATGTTTGTTCTCATGTAACCTGGCTTATGCTATGTTTTACCCATATTTCGCACTCTTGTCCGCCGTTTCGTTGACGAAATCATTCAGTCGACGATTGGGATTCTACATCCTTAGGCAATTATTTATTAAAACGTAATATTACATATTGTCTCCTCTCACGCCGCCTCTCCTACAAATTGATGATCGCCACGAGGATCGATCTGAAACTTTGGAATATAATTTTCTTGCAATTTGCTGGATGTTACCAGTCGTACACATTTCGAAGAAATATTTTTGTAATTAAAATTAAAAGGTTTTAGATGTCATTTTTATGCAATTTCGTGGTTTGAGTTTATAACTCTTCCGAAGATAAAGCTACAGTTTTTTAATAATTTAAAAGGATAAAATATTAGTTTCGAACATGATCGGTAAAACGGTCACCGCGATCGAAACTTTCAGAATGATCTTCGTGCGTCGAAGCGTGATCCCAGAGTAGCGATTGCATTTTAATTAAAAACCGAATCCCCGTCGTTCCGTTTCGATTATTGTAATTCTCACCGTACGAGTAACGTCCATTAGAGCCCACGTTGTATCGTACCGAATGGAGACGAAGTTAGCCACCTAAGTAAAATAGGAACATTAAAAACAAGTTTCGTTGCCCATACGGGTTCAGATCTTTTTAACTAAGTGAAAGTCTGGTGGGTTGGCTTTGCATTGTTGCATGTTACGATTCGGTAGTAGTAACCAACGAGGAGGCCGGAAGCACTCCCGCGACAGCCGTAGGTCAACAGAGCGCAGGTCAGCCACCTAAAGAGAAACACCGTGTCGGACACACCACACCAGGTATGTGAAAATAAAACCACTTCGAGATCGTATCAGAATTTAACGTTAAATATGCTGGATTTTGTGGACCCTCTGCTTCCCATCGAGCAAGCATGGCTGCGTGAATCTGGCATGACGCGCCGATTAATTATCCTTTGAACGTTTTCTTTATTTCGATCGAACCTCCATTTACGCAGCTGTATTTGCTTATGTTGAAACGAAACGATTGAAATAGTTGTCGAGGAAACAATTGCAGGACGAAAGAAACGATTCTTTAAGTTATTGTTATATCTTCAAGTAGTGCTTGGAAGTCGACCTGTTAAATTCAAAGTGTATGCCCTTTTTATTTTAATTTGCAACTCTTAAGAAAGAAACGTAGCTTATTATGGCTTACGAGCGATTCGATTATTTTCAGCAGTTATTGATAGTTGTAGTGGTTCAAAAATTAGTTCATCTTCGTTATTATGTAAAAAGCTGACTTCTGTGATTATTTGCAAACATATTCTACTCCTCAGAACTAAGAAAATGATTCCAACGAAGGGCAGAAAAGCTTGTATGCCTAGAGTACAGCCATTTTAAGTTATATGCGTGAAAAATTTGTTTATTCTTTGACAAATAACTTGAATTCTTTCTTCGAAGATAACTTCCTGTAAAATTCCCCTTACATCGTCAATAATTTCGATATTTATTAGTTCTGAGATGTAGTAAATTTGAATAGAGTAGACAAATAGAACATGACGCGTTAAGTTGTGAAAATGATTCCAAGAAGCCATTTCAAGCACTGCTTTCCCAAAATACACTTGAAACGAGCTATACCTTCTTTCGCGTTTAGAAGCTTCACTTTGGTACTTTAATAATAAATAGTTTAGCCAGGCGAGAGAACGATACATTCCAATATAATTTTGTAGATTGAGAAAGGAACTCCAGCGCATGAATCAACAGAAATATTGGTGTTTCGCGATGAAAAAATTCGGGTAATTAGATGCCAAATGGTTTTCACGATAGATCTAGATCAAACCGTTCTTTGCAATGATCTTTCGATTATGATTCGATGTCCGTTTCGTTGTAAGTACGCCTCGACGACAGAGGCCCGCGAACGCGTGCAAGGATAATCGAAGCACGGCATATTTTCGCTTCTCGCATTTTTTAAGTCGCTTTCTATCTGTCGGATTTGTGCTTCTGTTGTTTTTGCATCGCTCTTTTAAAGTAACACGGTCGATCGACGGATGTAACGCGCGTAACAACAAAACTGAATGTAATTAGCAAACAGTGGAAATAAATTCTCACATGGCACATCCAATCTCTTGTAGTCATTTGTTTCTCATTTACTAAAAGTTTAGGACGCTCTTTCCTCTTCGATTAACGCCCTCGAACGCTCCGACGAGACCGTTTGTCTGCCTTTATTTTTCGCCTTTCCGTATGTAGCAATTTAATCGAACTTCGCACCTGTCCACTGGCCTCTCTATTTCCGTCTCTATCTATCTGCTCGTACGTACGTATCTCTTTTTTACTACAAATTTTTATATACCTACTCTACCTTGTTACTAACTTTTCGTTCTGTACGATTAATGCGACACGATTGATTGCAAGTTTGGGAGGCTTCCGATAAAAGATATACTTGACTGTCGATCACGAATGCCTTTGCCATGTATTTCGCGCGCAGATTCGTGGTATCCTTGATGTGTGATACATTTAGTAAGTTCACATTCTCTATTCTATCTACCGAGTCCTTACGTCGATTAAGAGTGTAGTGTTCTTAGTTAATTTGTACGATTGGACGCGTTAGACGCGTTTCTATCACTGTTCTCAACTTGTCCCGCGTATCAAGGCGGAAGCACATTCCTGTCACGTCTCTTAAAACGCGTACGGCGTCACGGAACTTTCGAAACCCGTGGAATCGTTTACGTTATCGCGTGTCGCCGGATTCGTGAAAAGAATCGAGTCGAATTTTTAAATACGTTCGTAAACTCGCTCTTGCCCGCGTTTTCCATCGCCTGGATCTTCAAAAAACACCCGTTAGTGGATTCTAACGTACGAATGAAACTTAAAGGAATATTAATTTACGAATAAATTTAACATTTTTATTCGTTATCGGTGAATAACATTTGCCCGACTCTGATGCAATGTTGCAATATGTTTTAGAAAAATTTATGAAGATTCTGTAAATGTTAAAATGGTTCGTGAACAAATAAGTCGAAGAGAAAGAATAAAGTTTGCTCGTACGAAGCTTCGTTTTCGAGAAAATCGAGTTTGAATATAATGATTCTTAAAATGAACCCCGGACGTGATTCGTAAATTGAACGTTTCTGTTCCTTCCAAATGGAGGGATCCTCTTTGGAACCAGAGAAGCGTGAAAGACGATATTTAAGACACAATATCGCTGTACGAAACATGCTATATGTTCATTTTAAGAATCATTACTGTACGAGCTCGCGTCTAATAGAGTTAGAGTTGAACATAAGTAGAAACAGTGAGCAATGAACAGACGCGACAGCGAAATCTTATTCGACGAACGTTGTACAAATTTTTGAATGCTACATGCGTTCACACGAACTCACGACGTGATTGTAATGTGTTTCCACCTTTGATCGACTACACCGTTATCGCGTGCATCGCCTGTCATAAGTTCGAGACCACCTCTGGCATACTGAACTATTCAATGGAAATTAAAAAATTCAATAAAATACATTCTTTCTAAGGATCATCATTTTTATACATCAAATTACTTTGTACAGCATTACATAGCGGGAAAAACACAGAAAATTTATTATAATAAATTATGTTGGAGCAACAGTTTATTTGCAGTAAAATATTGCATTTACATAGCTTCTTTATAAATATTAAAATTGTAGAATTTCGGTGGAAAAAAAAATAATAGTTTATTTGTAGTAAATATTGACAAAACATGGCAAACAGAATAATGTTGCATTAACACAATATTTTTCTTTAATGCGTTGACTGTCACGGTGGTCACTGGAGATCTACAGTCAATAAAATATTTTTTATTTCACAAATAATACCTTTAAATTGATTAAATATACATTTATACTCATTATAAATTCCATTTTTAATTATTGTTTCAAGGTATTTAAAAAAAAAATTTGTATATTAAATTTAAAAACTATTCAAAAATTGATGGCTAAAAAAATTAATTTTCTATCTTAGCTATTAATTTAACTAAGTCGTTACTAATTTAACCCTGTGCTGACGGTACAACAGAAAATTACACAACACATTACTATAAAATTCTTGGCTATAAATTGACAAAAATTAATTTTCTTGATACGTATGAAAATTTATTGAATGAAATAAATGTTACACGTCGAGTAATTTTCAGATGTCTTTCCACGCGCCCCTAACGTGTGTTCTCCAAAATGTCCGCCCGCCTGAAATTAACTTCTCGTCCGTTGTTTACTCGCGAGGAAAGCGCTGTATAATGGCGCGAATATTTGAAAAGAAACAACGGGAAAGGTGGTCTCGAGCTTGTGATCGTCAGCGCGAGCAATCGATGGTGCACCACGACGAAGAATAATGAAATTTCATTGCAGAGCGCGGCGTGGATAGACAAAGCGACGATAGCTCCCGGAGAGCGGACAGCGATTCGCATCCAGAAAATTGGACGGATCACGAGGCGAACGATCCCCCGAATTATATGCCGGGCTCCCCGCCGAAATCGGAGCAGCACAATAAAACCGAGAGCTCGGACAGACGGAGCAGACTTTTTACCCGCGACAGAGGCATACCGGGTAGTAATAAGTCTAAAAAGCACAGCCTCAGCGTAGACTTAAAGCCTCCAGCCGACTTGAATAGCTCTGAGGTAGTTACCGATCGCTCGTACAATACGAGGCTGATTCAAATACAAACCGAAACTTTTTTCTTTTTTTAATATTTAACATAGAAAATCAAAGTTTGTACTAAAACTTGTCAAAAATCCTGTATAAATGAAAATCAAAGAATACAGCAAGTTTTGGATAACTGCGAGAAACGCAGGACTGTAAGTCTCGTGTTTATAAAAGCATGGTTGATTTTCACGATGTGAAACTTACTTATTTTTCGTTAATGAGTTCTTTACTAATATATTTGTGAGGTTTCCTCGATTAAAATAGGACTAAACACGATATAACTTGGATCATATTTGCGTATTTAATGAGTACGTATTTAATCGTATTTAACATGATTTTATAGTCTATTAGAAGTAGGCTAAGAACAAATTATATCGTGTTTGGTCTTATTTTAATCAGAAAACTCTCGCGAATACATTGGTAAAAGTTTTATTTAAATAAAAACAAAAATAACAAAGTTTCATCTTTGCATTATGTACTATATACGCGGTCCATTCAATGAGCTTCGTGTGTAGTAGGGGTGACTATCGTTCACTTATCCAATCGAAAATGGCTCGCAGTTATCCAAGCATTGCTAAATACAGGATACATTCTATTTCAAAGGAATTTTAAGTCCTCGAAAAGAGCATTAACGACGTAATTGATCAAAAGAAATACTGAAAATTTAAAGGTGCATTGGTGTTAGGCGTATAGAATCGCCCCATAGACTGAATCATTATTTTTGCGACGCTTTATTTTTATTTCTGTCGTCGAGTCGACCTGTTTCAGGTTGCACTGTAATTCACAGGATATCAATTTCTAATTTCAGCGTGCAAACAGATGATTTCTTCTTTAAACATTTCGCCCGTATATCTTTTACAACAACGTGACGCGTTATTAACAAATGGGTGCATTGTTTCAGCCGAGGAAAGCGTTAGTCGAGCAATTAAGCCGCGTTTTACCAGATGACAGTTTGCCAGACGCAGTGTCGTTGGTCTCGTTATCTGATCCTGGCGGAGCGGTGCTCGCCACAAGGCTTCAAGAAAGGAACCAGAGAGTCCTGACCACTGCTTCTCCGGCGGACGTTCGTGCCACGTTCACGTGCTTGGTCACGCGAATACAAAAATTGTAATTATCCTTCTTCCTTGCTAAAAATCGTTAATCGTTGAGCCTCGATTAATTGGACTTATTATCATTCATTTAACAACGAGGAAAAAATTAATAAAAAAATCTAAAAATCAGTAATATAAAAGGGACAACAAAATGAAGATTATACAAAGAAAATATTATCGCTTTTTTTTTTAATATCGCGATTGTTCAATTCTATCTCTTTTTGTGTGTACGGAATTAGCATGAGTAATCATTCCAATTATACAATTTTGAGATCCATATGTCGTGCAATGGCTTATAGAATAGAATAAAATGTGAATTCTTAGATATTTTGATTAATCTTGCAATAATCTTCTCGTTTTTTATCGAAATTTATCTCGCTATTTTGAAGTTGATGTTTTGTTATTCTGTCCTGTTTTACTCTGCAAAAGGATGAAACAGTTCAGAATGTACGTAGTAAATGCACCGTTTTTTTCGCAAAATGTTGTTAAAATTTCGGCCAATTAGATCGTTTGGTGTTGTTCCCGCGTTCCAAGCGTTTCCCCCCTACTTTGACTTAGGGTATACGTGTGTGTCGACGCTGAATAGTGGGAGGCGTGTAATGAGATACTCGAGACACAATCAAGTGGTATGATAAGCGATACTCTTAACCCCTTTATGCCCACCGTATCGTTTTCGATGCACACCACTTTCAGACAATCTATATTGCTATTACATTATCAACTGTGATTTTCTTTTTATGGACCATTTTTCAAAAATGGTATACAATTTTTCAATCACAAACAAATCTCTATTTTATTTTTTGTTTCTACAGCCTTATTATACTTGCGACAAACTGACGTGTATAGTAAAAAATAATGTTGCATCTACACTGTCACTGTCACTGTATTTGTCTAGCTTAGAAAATGCAAATTAAGTAGCACGTACAACTTTCTAAATCGATCTTATTACCTCATTTTGTTATATTTATTTATTTTAAAATATAAAAATAAACCGTATAATGCTCGTGAATTTCCAGAATAAAAGAACTCTTCAAATTAAACCTTAGTTTTTGAAATACTTTAATTGGTAAATTAAATAATTTTTAATATATTTAAAATGTTATATTGGTATAATACAGGTCAGTGTAACACAGAATTAGTGATAAATTCAATTTTTTTGGATTACTTATTCTGATCAGTTTTATAATCACCAAGCAAATATATGATTAGGTATTTTTAAGGAAATTTTTAGTTATTATAGACTGTGGAAAACTTTTACTAAGGATTTTCTTGTTAAATATATAACGTCATGAAATCACATAGAATGATTTACTAGGTGCATTCTTTATACATCAAATAATTCCCTACTCAAGAAGTCGTACTCCGATTAATCGAGGCTCCCACTGTATTTCACACGTCGTTAAAAGACGACGTGGTTTGATACTGAATAACGTTACAGACTACAATAATTGGACACCGCTTTAGTTATTGAGTCAATGACCAGCGAAGCGTGTCTTATTTTCTTTGAAAGCTTGTGCCTCAAAGATCACAATGAGGATGGTTTGGGTTGCTGGAACCCTTTCGTTCGCGAGGTATAGGGAATTGAAGAAGATCGTATCTGAATAGGATTTCCATTGTGAAATATATCCCTTTATAGACAAATCTGTACATTTTATTAAAGCCTCTGTAACGACTGCCATACCTCGTGGATGATTTCAACATGTGCAAGTATCTCTGAGGTAAAATAGTCGAGCAACAAAATTATCAAATATATTCAAATCACAATCTAAAAATAGATCTGATAATACGAGTATTATGATTTTAAGTTGTCAGAGCCCTTAACTGTTACCATTAAAATAAAAGGAAGTAATGATTACACGGAAATTGCGTTCTGTGTGTTCTGGAAATTTATTTTAATTATAACAGTTATATTAACGTTATCCATTTTACACAATTCGAAAAAGTTCTACTCACGAGTAGCGATTATCGTGTAACCATCAAGTTTAGAAATCGATATTTTTTACTGGCGATATTTTTTAAAAGGGCATATTTTCAATGAAAGTTCTATCAAAATACACCCTCCTTGCACCCCCACAAATCTCGTAATCAAAAGGGCAGAATCACGACCATCACTAGCTTAGTTTAACATAGTTTATATTAGTTAATATAATTTTACTAAACTATGCTGATGGTGATTATATTCCCCCCATATCTCGTGATCGGAAGGGCTCAATCATGACCACCACCAGCATAGTTTAATATAAATTACAATAACTGTATTAAACTACGCGATGGTCGTGATCACGAGATACAGGGAGTGCAAAAATATGCTCTTTTATGAACAAGTCTATAAATTTCAGGTACCAAAAATAACAACTAAATACAAAAAAAAAAGTTAATACAGTATTTTCTCTATATAAGCTCGGAACTCGTCCACGATATAGGCAAATATCATATCCCCTCTACTTATCCCCACTGCGTACCGTTAGAACTAAGCACTCGCTGTATCGGCGAGTATGCCTTCCTATGGGCGGTTCCCCAAGATAGCGGCGCGTTTGACAGTCGGTCGTCGAACATTGTCATACGATACGGGCTCAAATTACTAAGGCAACACTAGTGCAATAATACAAATTTTTTATTTTTCCTTTTCTTGTTTTGAAACTTTTAACATGTCTGTGACAGTTTTCTGATTTAACTAAGATCAAGTACAACATAATTTTTATTATTGTTTTTCATAAATTATAATATACATTTGACCTTTCTTTAAAGTGTATCCTCATCTGAAAAAAGGAATTGTAATTTAATTGACCTATCATTTATTTGCCGAAATCGTGAGACAACTCAGAGTAAAATAAGTTGGTTAAACAGTTTAAATTCGCAAGTTATGTATATCTTTTCGGGTTATATCACTATTGCAGTAAACGATCGATACATACATATATGTACTGAAGTTATGACACGATTTAACTAGTACATATACAATATTAAATCAACAACGAAATTCATCTTTATTTTTGTTCTTCCTTTTTTCAAACTTCATCAACATATTCGTGACACTTTTCTGATTAAAATGACACCAAATACGATATACAATTTAGGTCCTATTTACTAACGCAATAAGAAATCAAAGGCATGCATCGCTCAAGTGACTCCACGTCGGCTGTATCGAAACACAGGCGATGTTTACGCGAGCCTATACAGAATCAGTATTTCATTCTGCGACCTCTACCAAGAGAGGTAGAAGTCAGAATTAGAACACCGATTTCGTATAGGCTTGCATAAACATCGCCTGTGTTTCGTTACAGCCGACCCGAAGCGAAGGAAGCGATAGCAAATTCGGCGATGCTCGGCCGCTCAGTCCCTCTTTGTCATATGCTCGCTGTTCTTTTCTATACTCGCCGCCTCCAGTAGGCGTCAACAAAGTATCAAGAATCGTTTCTCGTCCACGATATAGCCGAGCGTTGAGCCCCGAGAGCGTCGCTTCTATAGAGACAATACTGTATAACACAAGCTACAACAGTATAATAATAAAGTAATGTAAACTATATTAAACTTGAGCATAAGTTTTCGAGGAAGATGGAACATTAACCAGAGTCATGCCAATGAGTGTAACCCTTTTTTACTTCCAGTTGCAACAGTTCCGCAAAGCCACCAGCCCCAATCAAAGTGGTGATCGCCGGTGGCGATAGTTTCGTAAACGCGGTGCTACGCCATTACGTGGACCTGTTGAGTTTTCGGCCGCCCGACTGGCAGAATTATCTGAAGTTCTTGGCGGTACCACTGGGTTCCAACACGCTGTCCAAGTATCTCTGCTCGATAGACTCGAAGTACTCCATCTTGTTCGGCGAGGAGTGGAAAGAGCTGCTGGAAAGAGAAGGCGGTTCGACCGAGTGCGCCGCGAGGGTCACGGAGTATTTGGCTGTCGCCAGCACTACCTTGCTGCTGCCAATCGCAGAAGCTATGGTTACGTACAGGTAATCAACCGATGCCTGTCAGTCGTCGTGTTCCTTTTCTTCGCGATATATCGAGGGTCGAACCGAATTCCTCCGAATTATATTTAGCCAAACTTAGGGAGGGTGTTCAGTCGTTATATAACTTGATAAAGCGGAATCAATTTGACCCTCGTCAAAGTAAAAGGGGAGGCCCTGTGTTTGGAATCATTTTCGCCGAGAAAACCTTGCTAAGCCTGTCGATTATACTTCTTTGCGAAGATAACGGAGGTCCGCCCCCCGTGATGGGGTGTTCCACGCAAGTGGGTCGAGCTAGAACGTTGAAACAGTAGAGGGGGGATTAAATGGTTTTGGTGTTTCAAGGTATTGAAAGATATTTAAAAGATTTCAATATCACCACCTGTGTTTGTTTTTTTTATATTTCTACTTAAGAAATATTGTATATGTTTAAATTTGATCCTATACGTGGAGTGAAAGAACGAAATCAAGCAGAGGGGTGTGACCAAACACCGGTGTGGTTGGGATGATTGAGCTCCTGTACCCCTTGAACGTACAATACTTTTCTGCTGTTATAGTACTAATCTGTTATAAAACCTAAAAGGAGTCGAACTTATTATAAGATTGACTGAATTATTACCCCAAAATCCAAATTATGAATTTTGTGGGGTCCTATGAAAAAAGAGGCATCCTAGCAGACATATAGACCTAAGACATCCGTTTGTAGTATACAGGGTGGTCCACGCAATTGTTTCAAGTCATAACTCCGTTATTATTGCATTTACGCAAAAATGCCAAAGGAGAAAGATAAATGGTTCAAAGAGCACTAAATCTGTAGTCCTTTAAATTTTGTTTAGATGCAGCAGTGCATGTGCAATTAACAATTGCATCATTTCTTTAAATAGAAATGCATATTTTTTTACACAGATCGATTCTTCTGTTCATTCTACGTAAAAAATGATTAGGGTACCATGGCAAAAAAATTATTAGATCTCGAGATATTTTCAAAAAATGTCTTTATTGCAGAAGATGCTCAAACGCTGCTCCATTACATTCTAAACATTTCTGATAACGTTTTTTTATTGTTTGCATAACTGCGTTTAAATTATCTGCAGATATTGCTGCACATTCCAGTATCATTCTTTCTCTCAGATTCTCTACAGAATCTATGGGATTTGAATAAATTCTATCTTTCAAATAACCCCACAAAAGAAAATCAAAGGGAGTTAAATCAGGTGAACGGGCTGGCCAACGTATTGATATATTTGTTGCGATAACGTTATTGCAAAACTTATTTTTTAGAAACCGCACTTTTTCAAATTCTTAGTTTTCGTACTCGAGTTACGATATGTGAATTGCTTCTGAATGATGAAATACTTACTCGTACAAATCAGTTTCTGTTATGACAACAATGTCGAAACGGTGTTTACCTTTACAACATAGTCATGAAGTGTTTGAGCATCTTCTTCAATAAAGACATTTTTTGAAAATATCTCGAGATCTAATAATTTTTTTGCCATGGTACCCTAATCATTTTTTACGTAGAATGAACAGAAGAATCGATCTGTATAAAAAAAAGATGCATTTCTATTTAAAGAAATGATGCAATTGTTAATTGCACATGCACTGCTGCATCTAAAAAAAATTTAAAAGCCTACAGATATAGTGCTCTTCGAACCATTTATCTTTTTCCTTTGGCATTTTTTCGGAAATGCAATAATAACGGAATTATGACTTGAAACAATTGCGTGGACCACCCTGTATATGCAAACGGAAGGTCGATCGAGCGCTTGCGAGAGGAACGGTCCCTCTGGCGGCAAGTATGGGAGGCGATGGACCCCACACATATCTGTAGTATAATGAAATTGATTAGGATGCTGTTAAAAAAATTCGCACTTTTTTATTTATTTACGCAGAATTACAGTCATTATTGACAAAATATTCATCTTCTTTTGCAGAGAAACGGATGACAGCAGCCAAATATTCATCCCGTTCATAAACGACGTTCGAGTAGGGTGTCCAGACAGCAGTTCGTCCGCTTCGGTCGATCTGGAGGAAAGCAACATCACCATGTCTGGTTCTCCACCTTCCCTGCCGCCACCTGGATTACCTATTCCACCCCCCGGTAGGTTAACGCCACCCAGTAGTCCCAACGTTGGCCAGCCTACAAGGGAAGGCTGGGAACCGGTCGAGCTGCAGCTCGATTACTGGAGCAAGCAAACGCAAGGAGAAAAAGGGAAAAACACGTTGAGGCAAGCCTTCAGGGCCCTGCACGTTCAAAGACTTCCGGCATTCGGGGAAACCCCTGGTCATCACCTGTCCATGAACTACACCACTAAAGAAAAGAAACAGAAAAGTGCGTGCACGTTGCATTGTTGTCGTCGTTTAACCGAACGAAACTTACGAATGTTCTTGTATCACTTCCTTTTTAGTTAGCCTTTCAAGTAATTCGCATAACATTGCTACCTTTGCAGTAATGCGATTGGGCAAGAAGAAAGAAAAAGAAAAGGAAAACGAGCCAAAGAGTCAAACAGTCGACGGTGTAACGCGACTTATATGTTCTGCGAAAACTCACAACATTCCATTAAGAGGTAAGTAAGATATTCGATGAGTAAATTCGCCAAGTATATTTAGTCAAAGTTTTATTGACTGCATCTCGCAACGTAATTCATGGAAACGTATTTCACAATCATCGTCCGCCGAGTGAACCTTTATACCAAAACCATTAAGCAGATAATTAGTCGACTTGCATCGTATATTTATAGAACTGATTTTAACTTTTTGATTTAGTGAGCATCGACGGTACGGAGTGGTACGGTGTAAAGTTCTTCCAACTGTCGGCGCAGTGGCAAACGCACATCAAGACGTTTCCAATAGCCCTGTTGGAGTACAGTTCTCAACAGCAAGCATTCAACCCAACGTAAACGTCTTTCGTTCCCGTCAAAGGCTACATTTTTTGCCGTTTATTTGTGTTCATCGATATTGCCAATTAGGATCATCAGCTTAGCTTATGCGCAAACCCGATAACCATCAAATCCAAAAGAACGAAAAAAGAAATGAAAAAAGAAACTACCCGGCATAGAGCAAATTTAAACAGTCAAGATTCAGTTTGCTGCTACGAACTGGACGATAGTGGAGGCTAATCAGGCAAGTAATCCGACTGCTGCCAGTTTGTTTATTATTACATTTTTTTTTTTTCCAATCCCTTTGTTCGAGCCTATTATTTGTGTTTTCAAGTATACAGTATTGTACGTGCGATCTTCTCGCGTGGAAAATTAACGAACGTACTTCGCGCGTGTTGCAAAGTAGAGAGGCGGTTAACATATCGTATTACAATTAACATAGACGACGATAATGGATTTCGTTGGTTATGGGAATGCCACCATCCGAAGCCATATTGTTCGAAAGAATGGTCACGCAAGATTTTATAAAAAAAAAAGGGATAATGAAATTATTGCTCGAAACGGAAGGCCCTTCGATGTACATATAGGATTTTTTAAACGACAAGCATAAAAAAACGGTTTTATAGCAGGAACTGATATGCTAAGATAGATCTTTGTCTAAATCGCAAGAGTGAAGAAAGGTTTTTAATTAAATTATGTATTTATTTAATTAATGTAATTAATCACACACGGAGCGCGCGAGCGACGTTGTCAAAGAAGTCTGTGATACAGGCAAACATTTCTCTTAGCGCACAAACCATGCTCAGAACATAACCGAACAGCGTGAGCAGGGATTGTCGATGTTCGAAAGAGACGTTGAAAACACAGCTTCGTTAAAACGCAAATCTCCGAGAGAAAAAAAGAAAAATGAAAAAGAAGCGTAGCTCATTAGTTATTATACTCCTTTTCTCGTTTAAGATTTCGACGTATTTTTTGTATTCCATTTTATAGACTTTTAGCCCCCCCCCCAGGCTGCTGTAGTTTAAATACTCTATTTTCAGATTTTATTATTTAATACTTTATTCCTACTACGCGATATTCTATTCCCGGACTTTCAATAGACTATACTCATTCGCGATTATTGTTAAGTCGTTAGAAAAAGAAGCGCGGATACACTCGTCGTGGAGACGTGGATGTTGAAACGCAAACGATTGTATAGTACGTTTTCAAAGCGATATCCACGCGATATCGGTCAAACGGATACACGTCGTAAGATTATGAAAAGACAAACATTGCGCACTCAACATGCGTTCCTATTTTTACTTCTCTCTTTTGTTATTAAAACAAAAAAAAAGAAAATCTACGACGTACCGCGCGTCACAGTTCGGTTAGCGTAACCTCCGCCCCCCCCCCCCTTCGCCCCATTGTCCCTCGATAACCATATCATGTGAAAATGATAATTAATAGAAACTAACGTTAATGTTGTCCTTAGCTTAGAAAACGAGTGAAAGAGCGAGAGCAAGTCGATGTATATTCATCCAAGAGACGCGTACTGTTTGTCTAAGCTTAGACCAGTCAACGCACTTTTTGACTTCTTCCTTTTTTTTCGATCTAGCCCCAGCGAAGAGAAACTTAAAAATGAAAAAAAAAATATATATATATTAGAACAGTGGCTTTACTGTTTTCAGCGACGTAGCTGTCGCATTGACTGCCTAATGCCAAATTGAAAGAGAGAAACAAAAAAAAAAAAAGAAAAGCAAAATGCCTACTCGATTTGTTCGGACAAATTTTGAGAAAAGACTTTAGGACGGCATTCTGTAACGAAGTGCGATAATAACGCCCAATTCATTGGTGGCGATTGCTTTTTGCCAAAGTAAAACCAGCAGTGAAATCTTTCCTTGTAACCCCCCTACACAAGTACACATATTATATATATATATATATATATAATATATAAACACACACTCCCCCCATTCTTTGCTAGTCCGCAATTAGTTCTTAACGAGTATTGAACTGCAATCATAGTCCTACATTTTACATTTTTAACAGCTGAGACTTAAAGCTAGCAGAAGGCAGCGCGACGTCGTGGCGTCCGATCGCATTAACGCTCGTAAATTTATTTTGTTGGCCTGTAAGATTGCGTTATAGAGAAACAATTATTCGAACAATGGAACATACAGAAACGTAGAAGAAAATTCGTAGATACACTTAAATGACTTCACTTTAACCGATCTACGTAACACTTTTAAAAATTAAAATTAGATGAGTCGTTTGTATTATAATTAAATTGCATTGCACGGTTATTCGAATTTTCAAACAATTTATAATAGTTTTTGATCGTAACTTGTAGGGTCTTTGTAAGCAGAAATAATTGATACGAATTTAAAATTATAATTACAATGTTGATAAGAAAACATAATAAAATTGTGTAGTCGAAAAAGTTACAAAGAATATTTAATAAGTATTACAATTTATTATACGCTTGAGTGAAATTTTAAAATATAAAAATAATGATTGTTCGAGCACGAGAATCTTCGATATCATCGTCAAAGACGTACGAAAATTTTAAACGTTGATATTATTTATTATGGAAGTTTCATAAACATTATGATGATCGATTATATGGTCGAAAACATTTTAAATTATCGTACGTCTTCGATATTAAAAATTCTCGTGTTCGAATAATCTTTATTGCGATGCTTCGAATATTAGAAAATTTATAAACAAATTTCCATTACTTATAAAAATATGTTTGTGAACTGTTCAAACGACTGCATCGTAAATATATTAGATTTATTGAATAAAATGAGATAAAGTTTTATGCAAGTTTTTTATGAAATAAAAATAAAAGTAGTTGTTTAGATAAAAAATAATGTATTATATGGTTCTGGAAATTACTATGTATAAATTCCAAATATGTGTATATCGATTATTTTTACCGACGAAGGCAAAAAGTATAATAGACTGTTTGTAAACTCGACTAACTATACCCAATGTGATTTAATATTTTAAGAGCTGTTAATTCTTGAATGAACTAAAATAAGGTACATGATGCTAGGCTTGAATCGAACTCGATTGGTCGCTCAAGGTCACTCCTCTCACCGTGAATCACGTCAATTACACCTACTTTTAAGTCATGTCAACTTGCCTTTCAGAAGGAGAGCTTCCCAAGTGTTATGATCACTTTTGAATGAGCGTTTGTACAGTGATAGGATTAAAAATACTAAAACTAATGATATATGTAAATATAAATTATACAGAGTTCAAAAACTTTTGGTCAAGTTGATCAAAATAAAAGTATCAAATTAAAACTATAAATAACGAAAAACTCTGAAGCTGTTCGCAGGGACAGTTTTTATGAAAATGGCTTGACAGTTAAAGTCTTACTAAACTATAATTCAAGCTTTCATAGAATTCATTGTATAAAGTTTAAATGGAAATTGTAAGATATGTATAATAAAATAAAAATGCTATAATATAGACTTAATCTCTTCAGGGATACAGGCACATATGTGTACATTTAGCTTCTAAATTATTCTAAATATTGTAACATAATAAAAACCACTGCAAATGTGAATAAATAGTTAAATAGAACTATGGCTTTTTAACATATATGCTAAATGTGTAAAAAAAAATTTATTCATTTATACGAAATGAAATATTAATATTATTATAGTAATTTATGAAATATATATTATATATGTTTTGCATATTACCATACACCAGAAATCACAATTAAGTTTCTCAATAACAAATAGACAAATGTGGGTCTGTATTGGTTTGAATTTGTGTTCGTTTCAAATAAAATGATTGCGTCCCTGAAGTGGTTGAGCATTATTCAACCAAAATTCAAACCTGGGCACAAAAGGAACATCAATTTGTGACAGGCGCCCACTTATGCCAGAAATTTTGATCAAATTGGTCAAAAAAAGATTTAGAACGACGTCTGGAGAAACTTTATTGAAATGGACTTGGCAGTCAATGTGTTAACTCTTTGCGGCACAGGATTTCAGATAATAAAATAGACCCACGTTGCATAGAAATTTTTTTTGCGTTTTAAATTAAACAAAATTGGCATATTTTTATTAATAAAGGTTATCACATAATGTAAAAACATAAAAAAAAAAATAGTAATAGTTGTCGCAATAAACCTTCCGCTTGTAACAATTGATGAACCTGTTGAATGTTGAATGTTGAATGTTGCTAACACAAGTGAATACATTTGTAACGTTTGTTGAAGATATTACCAACTGCTTTACGTAAATAAGACGAAATATAAACCTATACGCACGCAGCTATTGCAATATTTCGAGGTGGGACTGAAAATGTCTCACCATGCATTACGGTGCATCAAAATGGCGGGACGCTTTTAATCCCAGCGTGCCCCAAAGAGTTAAAAAGTGTTGTTATGCTCGGAAACCTCTCCTTGTCAGTTTGAAAGACGAACGACGTGCGCTGTAGGTTTGCGAGAAGGGATGAGAGACCTCCCAGTGACCTTGAAAGTCAATTGATTGCGTTTCAACATAGCGGGCTTTGTGAGTCATCGATAGCCAACAAAGAGCGTTCTTACGAGCGCACATGCGATATTTACCTGTTTCGTCGAGCATGCTGAATCGTTTTCAGTAATCGAACCTGCCATACAATGTATATATTTCTATACGTATATATAAATATACAGTGTGTTCGGCCACATCTGGGAAAAATTTTAATGGGAGATTCTAGTGGCCAAAATAAGACGAAAATCAAGAATACCAATTAGTTGATGGAGGCTTCGTTAAAAAGTTATTAACGTTTAAAGTTCCGCATGTGGAACGGCGCTCTGCGAACAACTGCGCACGCGCGACAGTGGCTCTCAGAAAACTGTAACACTGTCGATACGTCAGTAAGTACAGGCGGAACTTTAAACATTAATATCTTTTTAACGAAGCCTCAATCAACAAATTGATATTCTTGATTTTCGTCTTATTTTGGCCCCTAGAATCCCCCATTAAAATTTTTCCCAGAGGTGGCTGAACACCGTGTAATTACATGCTCCCACAATTTGAACGAAACATCTGACAGTGTTCGCGCGTTGCTTCGCGGTTTTGCACAATATCGTTGTTTTGTCCGTCACCGTTCACGTCGATGATAACGTCTCCCACTTATGATCACATCAGGCTTTGTTTGTCCGAATCAAATAGAAAGAAAACATGCTATCACGATGAAAATGAACCGGAACGTCGTCTTCGGTGTTACTTAAGTGGAAGACGCGATCGCGAATCTGTATAATTCACGCGTGAAGCACATTTTCAAATTTGTAAGCGCCGTCGCCCGAAAATGTGCGAATGACTATAGTATTCGTAGACTCGTGAACGTTCAGCAACGGAGCTGAACTTGACGGAACTGGTTTCTTTTTCCACGTTAGCGCGATTAGCCTGTAAGCGATTTTACAATGTCGTAATGTTCCTTGGTCATTTATTCCGTTCTTTTTTGTTCTTGTTTTTTTATTTTTCTTCCGTTCGCTGATTAAAAACGCTAGCGGTGTAATCTGTCAACTTGTCCATCGTCGAGTTGCGTATAAGCTTTGTAAGACGACACGAAGAACTTTCCTTAGGAACGTAAGGGGTATTAAAAAGCTACATCTGTAACACGTGCTCACGGTCCCGTCGATCGTCGAAACTTATTAACAATTCGAACTGTTGCTTGGTATAAAATAATTGCCAGAAATAATGTGATCCCAAGCATTTCGTTGTGGAACGTTCCGACCAATTTATTCTGGTCCTCGGCAATGAAATATATCAATTTGGGTTACATCACTGTATTCTAGGTTAGTTGGTTGAAACTTTCGTCAATGAAATGCTTGGAAGGACATTTTTTTTTAATACGTCAAAACGTATCCATCCTTTTATTTGTCATATCGTTTACGATCGACGCGAAATTTCGTCTTCTCCCATCCATGCGCGTTTTAGACTTAATTTAACGATTCTCGATTCTAGTCAAAATATGAGATCGCATTGTAATTCGAACGAGGTTTCGATCGACACGGTGACGAACAGGTTAACCTCAAACATCGGGCTAGAATATTATCGAACGCTCGTGTACTAAGTATATCACGATTCGTTGTTGGAAAGAACAAAGAAAAAATGGATCGATACTCTCGGGGCACGAAATGTGAATCTTGACAGTATTTCAATCGCAAATACCACGATGCACGGTGCATAAGATTTCTTTAAGCAGCGCGAAGACCGTCAGCACGTTTAACAGAACGAGTATTCAAAACAAAACAGAAAAAAAACAAAAAAAAAAAAATATTTGCTATTGTTCGTCAGTGTATAGTAAGTTTTAACACACGTGTGGGCAGACAAAGCTCAAGCTCAAAGCTTACAATAATTAAAAGAAGTAATTAATATATCGAACGCGTGTTTTTGGTACAGCGACTAAAGGATTATTAGATGGCGTTTAATTTTCACGAGTTTTTAGACGTCTTTATTGTACTGCTTTACAAACGGCGACGTCTAACCGTAAATGTACATATTATTAAACTTGTTATCAATAATATTAGAGAGTTCAATTAAAAGGGCTGTAAAAGTGTGTCCCTGCTTCGAAAATTTACGACAAACGAGAAAAACGACCAAAACAAACAGGACTTCCGGTGCACCCTTTGTAGCCGAAATCCTTTTCTTTGTTGCTCCCCTTCCCTTAAAAGTATCAAAAATAAAATGTGCTCGTTTCGTTCGCAAATATCTGCTGTGTGAATATGCAGGATGTACTATTCAAATGGTAACACCTAAATATTTATATTATTTATAGATACTTGAAAAGAATGTTTAGGGATCGATTCTTCTTGTCATTTTAGATATACAATTATCGAGGTTTTGAACAAATGCTTTATTCTATCAGATACGATTAAATCGCTAATTATTAAAATTAAATCAACAAGTTAGTTATCAAAAAATAAATTAAATGATTACAATTAATCTTAATTAATTAATCTCAATTGAATACTCAACGGTATATACTTTATTCAAGAAGATACACAAGCTTTTCTACAAGTGTTGATATTTGATTCTATTTGTATATTTACCTTTTCAAACAATTTTACGTTGCCCTAATTTTCTTCATACATTCACAAACGATGGAAGTATTTAGGTGTTTCTGTTTAAAGGTCCAACTTGTATCATCGACACGCGTAAAAATGAAACAAAACACAAGAGATATGTAATTTATTAAAATAATTTGATATGTACGTGCAACGATGAGTACATATTGTTGACAGTCGAAATATCTTGAAATATTTACAGTATATATTTATATTTTCCCTCGAAACGTGGATCTTAATGTAGGCCGTGTGATCTGGATTCGTGCCGCGTAAGGAGAAATCACCAGCTTTTGGTATCGCTCGAAGAAAATGTGGCTCGGTTGGTATCGCAGTTAGTGACTTTTACTCGCGTGGCACGAATCCGCGTCGCCGACTATATAAGATTTTCTATATATATATAAACATATATTATGGACCTCGTTGCTTCGCAACAAATGTTAATTCGCGGCTAATGGCAATAAATTTCCATAAACTTATACAGGGTGTTCCAGATCTCAACCGACAAACTCCGCCAACATGTTCGGGGGGTCACTGTGAGCGGTGTGATTCACAGATACATAATTTTTGAAGACAATCATTTATTCGCAATTATGTTTTACAGTTATTTACAGTATTTAAAGTAGTTTAAAGATATTGCTCAAAATGGTCACTTTTTGATGAACTCCTGAAGAGTTTGAAAGATTGCTGTTACAGGCAAAAGCTGCATCTTCGATTTTTGCTATCGATTCGTCACGTGTATTAGGCTTTTGATTTAAATACACCTTCGACTTCATGGAGAACATTTCTCAATGAGACTTTTCGTGGTAGATGGATTGGAAGATATGGAGCTGTTGGGTGGCCCTCCTAACCCTTCTAGATTATTTTCTACGGGGTTCCATGAAGTCGAAGGTGTATTTAAATCAAAAGCCTAATACACGTGACGAATCGATAGCAAAAATCGAAGATGCAGTCCATAGAAACACGCTTAGCTGTGTGCATACGATCAAAAGGTGACCATTTTGAGCAATATCTTTAAACGAATAATTGCGAATAAATGATTATGTCTTCAAAAATTATGTATCTGTGAATCACACCACTTTCCTTTCATAATGGAGCTATGGTGTATATAACATGTTGGCGGAGTTTGTAGGTTGAGATCTGGAACACCCTGTATAATTCATCTTATATTTTGCCAAACGAATTTTTCAAAATAATCATTCTACGTTTCCGGGGCTTGAAATGTTCGACGGCGTTTATCACGAGGTCCTTTTATCGATCATCCCGAAACATAAAGATAAATTTTACGGGCTCGAGCGACGCATCATTTAAACAATTTAAATAATTCTTTTTTCGGCCAGGAACCAACGTGCGATTCAGCAAAAAGAGAGAAAGAGAAAAAAAATGAGAGAAGACGCTGGAAATAAATTTCTAATAAGTGAACTAGCTAGCCTTTTTTAATTCAACTCCCCTATTGTTGATATAATAAATACGAAATACCTATATGTGATACATATTATTAAACATAATATTCGAATACAGGATATCATTGTTATTAATCTATAGAATAGACGTCTTGTGTCCTGGGCGTATATAATAGTTTTATACTATACGCGGTATCGTTGTACAATGTTTTTTTTGTCGTGCAGAATACAATACGTAAGACAGCAAAATAAGTTTTGTATTTTCATTCCGTAGAAATATATTCGTAATACTCGTTAGTATAAATGATTTTACTTTGAACGTTCTTCTTTCGCGATGTAATAGGATCTAAGGAAGCGTGGATCGTTGTTTTATGAGATTTATATTTACAGATACGAATTAAAGCTCTTGGTACCCGGCTAGTACTGTTACGGTTGTTCAGATTTATTACTTTTATGTGAGATTACACATAATTTAAACTTGATTATAATAAACACTACGATTATCTTCTATTTACTCTGTAAAAACTATTTTACTAGATACATTTAAAACGGAAATGATATTTCTTGTATTTTTACATAGGGTAAATATAAAACAATCGTAATGTAATCGTATTGTAATTGGGTAAAAATAATATATACCTTCGTGTGAATAGTATATATTTTGATAACCGGGTACATCGAGAGCTCTAATACGAATAGTTAATTCATCTCAGGACACAAGTATATACTTTAATTAGAAAATAGTAAGACTGTGGTAACTGTATGTTTAGAGAAGAAAGTAACAATATGAAGAAGCTAAGATTTAAAAATACAACGGAACTGTGTTGTTAATGTTTGTAAGCTTGAAATATAAATGTAACGCAGTTTTCAGAATTCTATTGCATCCCAATGTATCTATATCGACGTCCCTCCAGAAAACATACTTTTTTTTTTTTTCTTTTCTTCCTCTTAAATCTTGCTGTTTTTAAATTCACAGTAGGGAACATGTTGTAGAGCTTTCAATCGTAAAATGTACGATTTAAAATTGGCACAATTCTCTCACTAGTTCAGAACATAGCACCAACCACACCTAATACAGTCTATTTGCACAGAATATTTGGCCTAATCGAGAATACGTAGTACAAAGTAATCATAATCAAACATATGTATAAATTATAACATTCTTTATATTTGCCACGTTTAAAGCTAAAAACCGATAACAAATAAGTAAAATGCATGTACATAAAAGAAACAAGAATTAACAATAATCACATATCGATCTCTTATAACGTAACGCGGTACACGTACCAGTTAGCTACTGTTGCACTTTAAAACACAGGCGGTGTAACAGAATTATTGCATGTCACTATATGTATACACACATACATATACTAAATACAATAAAACTGTTACAAAACCTTTAAACTTTTCCAGCAAAATAGTAATTGGAAGTATAAATACAAAATGAAACTTAAAACGTTTTAGTTCTACGTGCATGTTCTTCTTTTTTTTTTTATATGGAAAGACTGTATTGTGGTAAGTAACAGAAGACATTATATAATTCCTACGTACATTACGTTTTAGAATTACAACAGAGAAAATATGTATTTTGATTATCTTTATAAATAGTTAAAAAGAAAACGTACGTGCACCAATAAATATTCTTATAAAGTATAATTATTTTAATTATGGCGCGACAATAAATCAAAGAAGCTTGTAAACATAGGCACAGCGTACAATACTTCTGAGACTTTTTGTTAATAAATGAACTTCATACTTTGCGGCACTTGGGTACAGTTTATTTTTAAAGGTTTCTCCTATTCGATCCAAAACCATTAATGAAGTCTACAAATTTATAACGCCTCTTTTGAATTTGCCTTACGCGTCTTATTGACGGATTCGATACAAAACGCTTGAGATACCGCATAATTGGAGAGACCAGCCAGTCATGAGGTATCTCCGAGTTTCGTATTTTAATATATATCAATGATGACTATGCTCGTATTTTATATATCAGTAAATAAATTGTAAAACAGGTATAATCTACATGATAAGATTTTTTTTTCTTCGAGAGAGCACATTGCTTTCAAGACATTCGACAGAATATCGTAATAGTACGTATTATAAAGAAAAAGAAATTAGTAATGTCTTTGATAGTATATAGTAACGTCTATCATTTTTACTTTTATATACCTGTACATTATATTCGGTAAAAAGACTAACATAGCTACCACATGATAGTATAAGGTAATCATTAAAATTTTTATAACCATTAACACTCTAGGCATCTTAAAAGCAATGTGCTTAATTTAATACAGCATTCGAACATTAAGTTATATCGCCTCAAATGCAATTGAGAGACTTGCAGAAGATTTAGTCTTTATTCATAGTGCCAACGGAAAGCAAGATTTACAATTATATTGAAAACTTATGGTCTTTTTGCTAAATAAATATACTTAGATCTTTTTGTTCCGGCTAATTACGATTTCGATAACTCCTAGCTAGTACACTTAGATACGTATTTATGCACATATTTTTAGATTTTTTTTTTTTCACGTTTATCTCTTCATGCACGTGTACATGCCCATTTCTCGGACTAATTTACGCGTACGGTTAGCACGTATCGCATCACAGGAAGAGTTTAATAACCGATACACGAAAAAACGATTTTCAAACAGTTCGCGTGCACGTAAGTGAAACATACGAAATAATTATTTACATTGCATATCGGAGTGAAAAGAACGAAATATTGCCTGTTACTACATCTAATAACAAATTTTGAAAAAGATCGACAGCCTTCATTGAACGATGGCTAAATTTTCATCGGCAGTTTAAACAGATGGTACCTGAAGCATCACATTTTACAAATAATTAAATTCTGTAGCAGATGCGCGACTGTGACGCCTTGAATATTTACCATATACCATAATGTGGATACAGTAATATCATAGTAATAATTTCTGTCTTTCACTGTGATATTAATTACCTACAACTGTTGTACATGATTTTATATGTATGGATGTAATGCCAATGCTCTACCACGTAAACCTCTCTGGCCTCCAACTCCTCCCTTTGGTATGACATACCCCCCTGCATGTCTAGCTGTCCCTTCTTCTTCCAAATTACCATTACTTTCGATTAAATCGCGCAGCGGCCAGCAAGCTAAATGACGCGATTTTCCATGACGCGCTAGCACATGATATCCTTGTCTGAAACATATGCAACTTATTTTTCTTAAACAATCGTTATATTATTTTTCAAATTGAAATAAAGACAGTTGAAAATTCAATATACCTGGATGAAATTAGACCAACAAGTAATGCCCAGTGGGCTTTATGGCCTCTTTTTAAGCACGGAGCGTGGTTGAAATCAGAATCGTACGGAATTAGTACCATTGCTCCGTGAGCTAAAGCATGCGTCAGTGTGTCTGGACATTGTTGCAAATCTACTAAAATATCTGGTCTATGGTCAGGTAAATATTCGGCTGCTAGCGTGCCCATGAAGTCTACACTGTATACTTCTCCATGTTGCGTGAAACCTCTTACGCGTGCCTCTGCTAGGAGTTGACCCACCGAAACTGGCTTTGTGTATTCCTGGGATGCCATAGCAAGCGCTACCAAACCACACCTATCAAAAGATATATAGCAACGTATTCTTTCTACGTATGGCTTTACATCAGGAATTAATATAAAATTAAACTCACTGCGGTCCATCTTGCAAAATTGGTTCAACTTGACAAAAATATGTTACTTCGGCATCCTTCAACTCGTTTCGCGATATCAGCTTCTCAATTTCTGCCTCTGCGGATGTAAGGGTAATTTTGGCCCACGGAGGCAGAGAATCCGCATCGCTTACTTCTGTTTTTTCACACATAGGTGCCTCTGGCAAACTTGTGATAGGTGGAGGTGCTGGCATTTCTTGCAAATAAGTGCAATGTACGAACAACCAGTTTGTTCGAGCAACAAATACCTGGTTCGAACACTAAAATACAATGATGATGCTTCCACAACTATAAAATTGTGCACCTGTGCTTCAGTATTTTCAGTCTGAAAATTGCCATTTCTCAGAGGTACTTTCTCTATTCACCGTAAAATAACATAGCGATCCCTGCTCATTGCAACCACAGTTTGCAATCCCTTGTATGGATCCAAGCTGAAACGACAGGAAAAAGAGGCTGTGCAATATGCAATATACTACCGATATAATAAATCATAATTAAAAACAGACAAGGAAAATAAGGTATTTAAAAGTTACGACACTTCGATCGTGTACTTTGAACGTTACCGAAATGTTGGTTTCCGGTATCAACGGTGAAACGTTTTATTCGGTAACAATTTATCGCGAGAAACGTACAACACAAAAGGGGGAAAACTACTCAGGATTACATGGGCAAACATTTGTCGCTATTGCATTTCTGTTAGTCATTTAACCTTGAGAAATTTGCTTTACCAAATTTGTCATTCCTTTTATAGTCATGAATTGCAAAAATTTCAAACAGTACCATCACACGCAATCGTTACTGTAAAACCAATTGCTTGATGGAAGAAACAGCAGTGATATTTTTGTACCGTTCCCAAAATTCTTTAATAAATCTTACGAGGTTTAACACGAGAACGTACTCGTTGGAAAAGTTCTAATGGCAGCACATTGCACGACCGACATTGAGCGCAGAATCTTGATGATCGTATTATATACGTTTAAGCGATCTGATGTCATTCGACTGCGATTGATATCGTTCGCGGAAGATCTAATTAAGATCGGACAAAGAACTGGACGGATCAGTATTTGTTTATCGTACCTAGACTGCAAGAAAATCGTAACAGCACGATTTTGACGTTTATACGTCCCCCCCTTATGCACTCTGTGACTCATGCACATACATTATGTAATTCTTCGATAGAAATAAGAATCAACACTCAAACGCGTTGACGTGACGATATCAAGGGTTCGTATGGTTACACGGCGATTATTTAACGAATGACAATTACTCGCTCAATCCGACTGCAATTTGCTCCTCTCGAGGAGCTCTCAGACCGACATAGTACACTGCCTTATTCGCAGGCGTCTGTCACGATATACAGTCGGATAAGAAATTTCACGTTGGTGCTGCAGTTCCGTAGCAGGAGGCTTAATCTCACGTGTTATAAGTTCAAGCCAAGTTTGCAACGCCTCCTACCAAATTTATGCTAACTAAAAATGTGTAAATGTGTGAACGAACGCATGCACATATGCATACAATGCATCGTATTTAAAAGAAAGTAAACTAGGAAAAGTGCGAACTTAATTTAACCCCTTGCGCTGGAATGACGTGTTGCACTCGTCGTATATTTCAAAAGTGAGAATACGATGTATATTGAGTGACTTTGTTGTTTGCAAACAATACTTCGTGCAGTAAACGAACGATACTTTGCAGCTTTGCGTGTGTATTTATTGCAAAGTGCTCTCAGTTTTCTCTATTTGTTATATTTAATTTAATTTATAAGGCAGTATAGATAATAAAATAATTACATGTGTACCCATGTTCCAAAATGAAAAGTGAGTCCAGAAAGAATGTACGGAGTTTGCACGGTAAATAAAGAACGCAATAAAACTATCCGGAAATGTTTGTTTTCTGAGAAATATAATTAGGAATAAAAACGTATCATATTTATGACAATGTTTTTATTACTTTTTAGTTACTTCAGGTTATTCCACAAACAAATTACCTCATTTTCTGGCCACCACGATTCTCATAGCAGGCAGCTGGCCCAGCTCGCAGCGCGATGCGCCCCAAACCGAATTTGGGGATTTGCACATAGACGACATGCGCGCGCACCGATCTTTCTGCTTGCCGATCGGGACCTCGTGGTGGCCACGGGCGCGGCCATTGCCACAGTCTTGTTCTAACCGCTAACGTGCAAGTTCGATCAAGTGTAATCTCTTAGTTCTTTGTCTCCAATTAATATAATTGCAAAGGTATTATGTGTTTGAATAACGCATAGTAACGATCGTTTCTCAAAACTCAATGTCTGCTGTAAATGACGATCAATAATATCATTTCCTTTAGATCTCACGGGCTCAATTCTAAGTAAAATATCGATTCTCTTGTAACCACGGCATTGTGTTTTATAATAAATGACCTTCAAGACCTTGTCTAAAATGTTTGCACCATATTCATTTTTCGCGAACCTTTTATCCGACCGGCGCTCTCAACAATACAGTCCGCGATTTCAAACACAGACAATAAATTAATCAATTATGGTTCAGGTTACGCCACCATCCATTTTAGGCAAATCCTCTCCGATATGTTTTCTAGACGCCATACATTCTGCAACAAAAAAATGATGTACAAATTATAGATAATAATTCTTAACTTTTATAAAGTAAGGTCTGCCGATGTTATGAGTATATTACGATGTTTCTAACGTATAATGGAGACAAATAGTACAATACAACATCCAAAATATGATGTCGCCACAAAAATTACCTTGGACAAAAATTGTTTATTTCTTCTAACGATTCACCGGAGTTTTTCACTTATAAAAATTAAATACTTAAACACTGTTTAGTTCACAAATTGATTTTTGTACCTATACGAACCATATATGTACAAGTCTTTAAATTAATTCTCTGAAAGGCTTTGAAGAGGAACGAGGAGAAATTCACTAGCACCAAGTTTACCAACTTCTCTACAGTTTGACAGCTGTACGACATAGTGTGTAAAAAGATAATTATACCGTTGATTGCATGACGAAACGACGAGCAATGAAAACTTGTATGTATCTAGCGTAAACTTCCGAAATGCTTAACTTGCCGTCGTTGAATAGAAATGTGCTGTAAAGGAAAATGGGTGGCCAATGATGGTGATTTTCCCCTCGCGCGGCACGAATAATATTCTGCAGTTGTACACAGTGCACAGTATGATTTCAAAATAGCAAAATCATTACGCTTGTACGAATATAATCGTGAACAATGAATAAATTCCAATAGTTTTATTACTATGTAGCATTAGAGATTCACTGATACTGATTGATAGTATTGATACCATGAATTTATACAGATTCGTTCGAGCAAACAACAAAACGTTAACAGTCGTTTGTTTTTTTTTTTTTTTATTCCCTACTTCCCACCGGACTTCAAATGTGGAGTAACAGCGAATGAAATTTCACTGAGATGTACTATTAAGTTTGGAGATGAATGTAAGTCATTTAAGTGTTTAGAGGACAGATTTTTAAGGAACTTATTCATAAAATTGTACAATAATATCAAAATTTCACATTAGGAGATTTTTTAGTCCTATAAAGGTAAATAATTACACAACAATTTATCAATAAAATTTATTTTTGCTTCAAAATATAGAGACCCTGAAATAAACTGTGCTTTATGAACATCAATATTTAAATAAAAAAAAAAAAGAGTAGTAATTAATTTGTTTTATGCATAATTCGTTGGATAAAATTATTTTATTAATTAATATTTTATTTAATAAAACAATGATAAAAAAATACTGTAAATGTATTTTGTCATTGTATTTTATTAAATATATATTTTTCACATATATTTCAATCAGTTTCAATATTTAAATATTGAACATGTATAATACAGATTATAGATTTAAAATTCTCTGATATTCCCGTTTTTTTATTCATATATATATATTAAAATCGAAAATACGAATTCAAATATGTATTCTTCTATTCTATACACATACATAAATTTTAACCAGAATAGAGATGATTTTGATGATACGAATTATATCAGTTGCATCAGTAACGACACTCTTATAAAATTAGTACGTACTATAGCTACATTTGAACATTGCACGAGAAATACTAGATTTATATTGACAAAATATAATCTGTTTTTGTATACGTATATCATATTTATATATATATATATCGACGCTTCGCATAATAAAAACGTAACTAAACAATAATTAAAAATGTACAATATGTATTTCATTCTAAATTACTATGTTTTGGTTGTTAAGATTAGGGTACTTTAAATCTCAATATGGCAATGCATACATTTGCGGATGTATGCATATACGTGTAACATAAAATATGTATAAATAAATATCACATTATGTTCATCGATTCAATATATATATACTCACTCACACTCGATAAATGTTAGAATAACAATAGTAGTAGAAGTAGCAACGTAGTAAGAATAATAGTCGCGGTGGTGACATTTAATGTCCTCCCCTTATACTTTAGCGTAACGTACACGTGTGCGTGGCAGATTTATTTGAACTTAAATCCTTATTTAGTTTAGTCATCCTCTCAATTTTTCATCAATATAGAATGGAAGATTAGTTTTAAACTTCGGTAGGACCAGACGGTTTAGTTTGTGTTCTTCGGCGAGCCAGTTCAGACATAACGACAGGGCCAATGTGCGGCGATCTGGGACTACTAGACATTGCTCTGTACGTTTCCGCGACCGCTCTCTGAAAATATATTTTCACAAATCTTCGGTATAATTTCTATATACATACGTCGACATACTTTAAATAATTATTCCATATTAGACAAAAACAACATACTTTTAGGCTGTGTGGATCTCTAATGCTATATGGTAATACTTTCTGTGGAAGACGGTGACGATTGGAAATCCACGGATACTTTAAAACAGCAGCTGCAGTAGGCCTTCGATTAGGATCTACGTGTAACATTCTTTTCACTAGTTCTTTAGCTTCGACCGAGATTTGACACCATATGCCACTTTCAATGTCGATATAGCCGGGTCCAATACGATCTAATATATCTGTCGCACTGTCTCCGGGACTGTTACGAAATGGAGTGTATCTAGAACGTAAAAATAGAATCATTTGTGCTGATTAATTTTTAAGTTTTGTCTGGTACAGCATTTTTCAAACTTTTACAAAAACAAAAAATTTCAATTTGTCATTGAACAGTTTGTAAAACGTTAATCTGATCGATTAATTGTTCAATTACCCGGCTAGCATAATGTATAATAAAACACCGAGTGACCAAATATCGCAAGCAGCATCATATCCTTGACGTTTCAATACTTCGGGCGCCACAAAATTTGCTGTATAACAAGGCGTCATCAATAAACCATTTTCTGCGCGTAACTGTTTCGCGAAACCAAGATCACAAAGACAAAGCGTGGCTGGATCAGCCCCTGGTTTTGAATATAATATATTGGATGGCTTCAAATCCCGATGAACGACCTGTTAACGATAAAAAATTGATTTAGCGGGTTAGATCTGGGTTATAGATACAAATAAATCGCTGACAAGTACCCCATTTTCATGTAAATAATGAACCACGCTCGCGATCGTGTACATTACTTCGGCAGCTTCTCTTTCTGTAAGACTACGTCTTTGCAACAAACGATCGAGCAGTTCCCCGCCTCGCAACAATTCCAATACCAGATAAGCTCGTTTATCGTCTTCGTGTACAGCCCTTAACGTTACAATATGCGGATGTCTTCCATACCGAAGCAAAATTTCGATTTCTTCTGTTGGATCTCTTTTCGATTTCTCAATCATCTATTATAAATCAACTACACTGTTCAATACGAATTTTGCTTTTCAATATCCACTGGATTTATCGTCACCCAGTGAATATTGCAAAATTGAAAAAATATTTTTACTTGTTAGAAATGTTATCAGTTTGTAGCAAACAAACTTTAATCAACGAACAATGTATTAAAACGTTGGTAATATTACCTTTACAGCATACTCTATCTTAGATGCCTTGTGAACAGCTAAGTAAACTGTACTGTAGCTTCCTTTACCAATTTCTTGTTTAAATTCATATTCGTCCGTCACGGAAACAGGGCTCACGTAAGTTGGAAACGTTGAACTGAGGCTATCACAGTTTTTATAATCTGGAGTTTTAAGGTGATCCTCCAAAAGGCACGGTGCGACAAAGCTAAATCCGCGGAACAATTCATGAGCGTTAGCACTTGGCGGTACACCGGGAGAATCTGTAATATATTTTATAATTTTGAAATTTATGTATTTAATAACGGCCGGCAAATAGGTGTTAAAAAAGATTATTCACCAATGTTACCTTTAGGCGTTTTACATGTAAATTCACTATCAAAATAAAATGCATCATCTTCTTGACTAACGGCTGGTTTAAAGGGAGGTTTTATTTCTTTATTATACAGAGCATCCCAATCGATTGTTGCAAAGAACACGTGACTTTTGATTTCTTCTACTCCGCCTGAAACATCATCGAAATAAAAAATTATTAATTACTTCACAACGTAGGAATCTATTTTTTTTTTTACTTAAGCCAGGGTCTGGTTTCTTTGGATGAAAATTGACTATTTTACTAATTACATTTTCTAAAATTTTAGGCCGCGGCGAGCAGTTGAAAAGGAAAGAAGAGACTTCTCTTAACCTGATGTTTGACAAAATCTCAAAAAGAAATCGAACGATTGACTCGAAATTTTTATCACCCAACAGTCCAGAACCTTGACTTAAAGGTAAGTATAAATAAGTACCAGATCCGAGTCTATTTGCGGGGTTTCTCTTAAAAAGTACTCTAAGAAGCGCCTGTGCTTCTGGCGAGATGTTAAGTGGCATACTAAGTTTTGCCTTTAATATTTGTGTCATCGTTTCTTTACGATTCACACCTTGAAATGGTAGAGCTCCGGTTAACATTTCAAACTGAAAATTAAAAATTTGTACTATAAAAATAATAGACAGTGGATAAAGTTTCTTTCTTTATAACACGACTAACCATAAGAACACCAAAACTCCACCAATCGGCAGCGAACGAATGCCCTTTCCGATTAACAATTTCGGGCGCCATGTACTCTACGGTACCGCAAAATGAATACGCTTTACAATCGTCTAAAGGTTGTTTACTTAGACCAAAATCGGTTAAAGATATATGACCCTCGGTATCCAGCAAAATACTATTTTAAATAAAGACACCATCAAATTTGTATTTTGCTAATGCTTATACCATTGTTATTAGGTATGTGCGAGATCCCGATCGGGATGGAAATCCCGAAAACATCCGTGATTCCCGACATTTTAAGTTTCTCCATACTTCCAACAATTACCAGAATCCGAAAGCCATTGTGTTCTCGAAGATTACATATCTTATTAATCGGGAATGTTTATGTTAGTAATATTGTAGAAAATAATTGCAAATTTCGCTAATTCTGACAATGCAGAATTTTAATATCGGTAGATATTTCTGAATGGATAGTCAATCACACAATTGTGTTCCGAGAATCCCAGATATTATTCTATATCCCGTACATTGTCGGGAATCCCGAACATTTTTGGGATCCCGTATATTCTCGGGAATCCCAGATCTTCGCGGGATCACGTGTATTCTCGGGAATCCCGAATCATCTCGAGAATCCCAAATATTCTCGGGAATCCCGCACACCCCTAATTGTTATCGATAAACAATATAATACAAACTTTTCTGGTTTGAGATCTCTATAAATAATTCCAAGTTTATGTATATGATCCAGCGCAAGAGCAAGTTCGGCTAAATAAAACTTTACATCGTCTTCGGTAAACATTACCTGCAACAATAATTATACAAAAGCTATCTACAAAAATGTGTCGCAGCTATCGTAATGGATTCAATTTTACAGTTGAAACGTACCTCCTTAGCTAATCTTGAAAATAAATCACCGCCCCTCAAAAAGTCTAAAATTAAATAGAGTTTGCCTTCTGTTTGGAATGCATAATGTAATCTAACTATGAACGGATGCTCAACATCCACCAATATGTTTCTTTCCAATTTTGTCCTGACTCTGTCCCGAACTACGATAATATCGTAACATTAAACCACTTTAAACAAAAGATAGAAATAATTTGTAAGGCGAGAATGGCTCTGAAAATTCTCTTTGATATTTAACGTAAAACTTTTAAAACTTTCAGAGGTATTCTCGTGCATTTAATTTAATAAACACCTTTCAACGTAGCCTTTTTCAGAACTTTCATGGCATAAAGTGTTCCGCTATCTTTACCAACAACTTTCCTCACTAAGAATACCTAAATAATCGAAGAATTTTATTTGTCAAAGAATGCTGCCAAATACAATACGGAAGATAATGATCCATTGGACTCTCGTTCCTTGATGCATAAATGCATAAGAAATTCAGATACCTTTCCGAAAGAACCTTGACCAAGAACTTTGAGAAGCTCGAATTGAGATGGGTCTGCTTTTTCATGACCGTCTCGTAATACTTCGCGTACTTCGATCTCATGAGTCTCTGAACACCCATTTGAACATGGTTCAACCACATTTCCTTGGGTGATCATTGCTTCCTCCTGAGCCTCTGCTGGAAGGATTTCTACAGCTTGCTGGAGGATCAAATTTCTTTTGTAATATTTTAACTTTTAATTGTTATTTAAATTTGATGAATGAAAATCGGATCGTTTAAGATCGATCGATCGTGTTGACAACTACATAAACATTACCTTCTCGTTTACATGTTGTTCGGACCAAGGAACCGTCAAAGTAGCCAACGGCATTATACTCGATGTCGCGTTATTGTTCGCGAAACTGTAGGCGTTGTCGTAAAATATTCCCGCGTGCGCGGTCGTCATAAATTAACATTTAGCTGCGTTTAGTTTACACAACCGAAACCACAGATAATGTACTAAACCGAAAGTATATGCACAGAGATTTCTGACAGGGACCGGAAGCACCTGCTTCGCGACCTTAAATAAAACCAAGCGAAATGGCTGCTTTTCAATAAACTTTCTCGAAAACGTGAAAGAATATACGGGAATACGCGTATCTTTGATCAAATATATACACGAAACACCGTATTAGGACACAGAAAGTGTTCGGAAGATACTATAAATAAATATCATGTTACATTGAAATCCGCTTATATCATAATTAAACGTAAGAAGTCACCTTTATGCATACGTTATTGATTGAACCGACAACAAACAAAAACGAAAAAAAATTAAAGCCTGTAGTTCGTTAATGGAATACAAACCAAAGATATGCTTTAGAACTAGTTGATATATTTGAAATAGTATGAAACAAGTACAATTATTTTAATCCTTTCTTACAGTGTTTTCGTTAATTAGAATCTGAAGTAACGACACTTAATTCGGCGAAATGATTCTTACAAGTTTTTTGACAAACATTATACACAATTTTATTTCTAACAAAATACATAAAAGAAAAATCGAAAGTAAGACTGTTCTGTTTGTAACAAGACACGTTCACATGGACTTCATGTCCAACAAGTGATCAACTTTACGCAAAGTTGTATACTCTTTCTCAGCCGTACAGGGACGTTACAAAATTCGAAACAAGTTCGTTTCTAGGGAAAAACGCAAGATGAATTTTTAATTAATATAAGATCGATTCAAATGTAAAAATATTTACGGACCCAAATAAATTGTTATCGTGCAAACGTTTGTACCATTTGAGGGGAATACGACATGAAAAACGCGTCTTGACATTCTTTACGCATCTCCTTCTCTTTCCTGGTAAATTTTGTTAATATTAAAACCTTTTATACTAACATTGTAGACCAAAGTGGGGTATACGAAGATTTTAGGAATATTATTATAAGGAATTATGGATGTTGGGACACGAGATTAAATTTAAACCTCACAAACGAAATGACATGGTGACTGAAACGACAAAATCACATACACGTGACAGCGGCCGTCAAAGTGTTAAGCATAGTTAACATGGGGTGCCAAATTTTAATCATCGATGATTTTTAAATCTTGACTAGTGATTTAATGGCTTAAGTGCAATTCTTTAATTGATAAATTGATCAGTTTCTGATTCACAATACACTGGTATTTTATCCTTCTTTCTTATCATATTTTAATTTTATGTCATTTGACATTCGTTTCATCCATCTTCTTCGAATGCACAGTTAAAACAATAACTGCGTAAAAACTTTTGTACGGCGTTGTACGTGCATAGCATCGAACTGCAGTTATGTCGTGCAATGTACCTATGTTTTCGTTAAAACACAAAGGTGGCCAGTATTTGTTATCCGTAATCATAAACGAATTCATAAAAAAAAAAGATTTTAAAGTTGTTAACACTATAAACTGTTAAACTATTTTTCAAGCTGTAAAATTTCTGTGATACGTACAATACAAAATAGCATAAGCGAGCGAAACAAAAGTACGTTCTTCGTATTAACAATTATTTTAACCTATACAGATTCGTACAGAGGAGTATTGCTCGGTTTACGATTCTTCTTTTTATTGATTATTAATTTCTCATTGTTCTGAATTTCTATGCGATGAAATGGAATTCATTTTGCGATATAATTAATAACACGTTTATGTAAACACGACTGGTTGTGTGATGTCAGTGTTTCTTTTTTAAGAATAAAAATGCCATGCTGGTATTACGAGAAGAAGGAATTGCGGAATACTCCGTCGATTCAAGATGGGATTGATTATGAAACTGAGTGTAGATATAGGAAAGAAGGAGCACGATTCATAATAGACACGGGCACAAAAATGGACTTGGGTTACAATACAATGGCAACCGGTGTTGTTTACTTTCATCGATTTTATATGTTCCATTCGTTTAAAAACTTTCCACGATACGTGAGTGCCTTTTACTGTTTTGCGTACTTGTTTTGACGAGTGTGTGTTTCATATGTTTGATGTCGCTTAGGTGACCGCATGCTGTTGTTTGTTCCTGGCAGGTAAAGTAGAGGAAACGCCAAAAAAATGTAAAGATATCATTAAGACTGCAAAGACATTGTTAACCGAACAAAAATTTATGACATTCGGGGAAGATCCCAAAGTAGGTCTCTTAAATTGCGCTTGTACATAAAAAAAATAATATTAATCATACAAACACTCTTGCTTTGTAGGAAGAGGTCATGACGCTAGAAAGAATTTTGTTACAAACTATTAAATTTGATTTGCAAGTAGAACATCCATATAGTTACTTGTTAAAGTATGCAAAATGTTTGAAAGGTAATTAATGTAATTGCTGTGGGTATTATACTGTGCAATACTGAATAAACAATAATGAACATTTGAATCGTGTATTACAGGTGACAAAAACAAATTACAAAAAATGGTTCAAATGGCTTGGACATTTGTTAATGACAGGTAATATTGATATAGTATAATTCAACAATTAATTTGATCGATGTAAGCAACCTTTTCTTTTTTTAACAGTTTATGCACAACATTGTCATTGCAATGGGAACCTGAAATTATAGCTGTTGCTCTCATGTATTTGGCAGGAAAGCTTAGTAAATTTGAAGTGGTAGATTGGAATGGAAGACAACAGAAACATTTACGTTGGTGGGACATGTTTGTCGAAGATGTTACTATGGATCTTCTAGAAGGTTTCAAACTTTATATAATGTTGTTAAAATTGTCTTTGAGTCTTAATTATTCAGAGCTTGTATCACAGTTCAAGTCGCGAATGCTTTATATGCATGCTTTAAAGAGTATATACATATGTGTACCTGATGTTTGTATACATTTGTTTTTTTATTTTTAGATATATGTCATCAAGTATTAGATTTATATTCTCAAGCTAATAACACAAAACCGCCGGATTCACCGCCAATGACACCATCCAACGAACCATGCAGAGACAGATCTGTACCAGTACCTCCCGCCGAAGCATCGGCATCTACCACGCCAAATGGTATATAAAATGAAAATGTAATATTTCGTTAGTGTAATAAGTAAAAAATAAACCCTTTTATTTATCTAGATATTAATATTACATTGTAGTTACACCAGGAAAGTCTACTAAGGTTGAAGTAACTGCAGTCTCCGCAAATGGATGCCCAACTATCGATGGTACAGAAACGGTAAAACCAATTGATGTGGCACAACATTTCCCAACATATCCAGCTAATTTTCCCCCAAATAGTACCAATTATCCACCAGCGTTTCCTCCGACAAATGTTTCGGTGCCTCCCCCTCCCGTGAATACAATGAATCACATTGTTCCACCGATGCATCATATTGGTTCAACTAGTACCATTAGACCTGCACCACCTGCCCCTACTACACCACAACCACCATTTCAGCCATACCCTTACCCCACAAACGCATCATATTTTCCTCCGAGTAATCCGGTCCCTCCGACGCCCACACCGCGCACCTATTACCCACCACAATCTTAACACATGGAAATTAACAACGCCAAAAATATAATTCCTACCGATGTAAGTATCATTATCTTATTTAAAGTTAGTATTATCGAGGAGATACTAAACGAAGTCTTGTAAATATTGTAAATATGTAAGATTTACTATCAACGATAGTATTCAATTATAAACTTTTTATACTATCAATATCTACATATTTCAATATCTAATTTACATAAGTGAAACAAATTTTTAAAATAAAAGATTAGCAGAAGTTTTAAATGTAAAGGTTCCCTTTATTAAAAAAGTTTTTTCCGGTGAACGTAACATCGTGCATCGCGCAATTCATTGCTATAAATAATTTCAAAAGAGGTTCCGCAGACAATGAATCCAAAACAAAATGGTCCGCATACAAAACGTACAAAACTGAAGGTAGCTCCATAAATTCTGCATACGACAAAACTGAAAAGAAATACATAATTTTATTATTAAAATTATATCTTGGAGGATGTTTAACTGTATCGTTTGATTACCAACCTCCCGCGGTGACACCGTATACGATGTTCGGTTGTTCTAATAATGTCTCTTTTAAGTTGCAAACGCTCTCTCCGTTTTTCGAGACTAACATTCGTAGGAAGGATGGTACATTTGGTGTATCGTTGCATTTAAATTGTGATACATGACGACATGTTATACAAATTGTTCGGTTTGCACTCAATAAGATATCAGATATCTAATAAATATAATAACATTAATACAAAACGGTAATATTTTATACAAGCGTATTTGGGGAAGCACAGTGGTGCCATGGATATTGGCCAACGTTCGGGACCGAAATTGGCGAAATTCGAAGGCAGGTAAACCTAGAAAATTTCGCGTGTCAAAAGATAGAAATGTACCGTGCTTCCACGAGAAGAAGGCACACCGTGTTTCCATCCCCACTCCTGTTGCAGTCCGCTGACTCACAGGTATTGGTCGAAAACGATGACGAAGGTCTGTGACAGCCAATCAGCGGACTGCAGCAAGAGTGGGGATGTAAATACGCTGTGCCTTCTTCTCGTAGAAGGACGATATACACGACACATCATATCTAAAAGTGCATTTAAAAACAAAAATATACTTGATCGTTAAGATAAGTGGAAAGACGATTCCAAGAACTGGTAGGGATAGTAACCAATCAATTTCTAAGGCGTTACCGTATACGCAAGTAAGTACAAAATGTGACGTTCTTTCGGAATTCTTTTAAGGAAATCGACATCATTTAAAAATAGAAATTTTAAAGATTGTTTATAAGAAATGTTAATGAAAAATATTAGAAAATGGAAACAAAATATTCATCTAGCGTATTTTGAACATAGACGCTTTGTGGTCATAGTTGTAGAAGTTATCTAAAAACAACAAAATAATAGCTTCAAATATAGTAAATGATTTCTTTGTTATATTCGATTTTTAAAATATCGATCTTTGACAAAATAACCATATTTGAATTCGAGAATATGTATATAGTTTCTCGGCTATAAAATAAAAATATAAAAATTTGAGTAAATCGATTTGAGCGTCTCAAAGATATTTCTGTTAACCGATTTATATAAATTTTTACATGCTCGTTCTACACAAAAAGAAGCAACCTTTATTATTTGAGTTTCTTGTTTCAAATTTTTCTTTTTATTTGATATCTAAGAAACGGAAGAATTTTTTGTGAAATTTTATTCTATTATATAATTTTGTTATATTTCAAGACGTTTCCTGTCTGTTTCAAATAACTTCAGATAACGTTTCGCCGCCATTTTTTAATATTTCTCGAAAAACCGTTTGTAAACTAACCCTAAGGTTTCTATTTTGAAATGCTTTTTTAATTACGAGATGATACATTTAAATTCCAAAAAGATGATCTATTTCGTACCAACTTGTGTTTGTGCGTGTGTGTTGTGCTTAACCTGCTTAAGTTAAATGCACTTACCTTATCCACAAGCTTGCCAGAAAATTTTACGTTAAAACGTGGAGATACAATGCACAAATATACGTCGTCGTTAACTTGATAAATTATGCACATTTTTTTTTTATTTTCATCCTCCACAAGGCATGCCTCTTCTGAACTTTGACACAAACATTCCTTAGTGAAATCTATAAATTTGATTATAAACATTTTACAACATAGTCGGAAGTATCGATGCCGGTAAAGGTAAACATATATTACCAAGTAACATCTCGCCTTCGACTACAATTAAAGTATTAATTCGAGCTGGCTTTTCCTTCAACCATCGTACAGTAAATTCTCTGAAAATGATACGTAGAAAATGATACTGCAAATTGTCGAATGTTTACCGTGAAGAGGTTACGTTAAATAAATATACGTCTTACGGTTGATTCGTTGTACGTTCGTTTGGTGTACTTTCGTCTTCATCGTCCCAAAATGCTCGCGAAACTGGGAATACTACTTCACCAAAAAAAGACACCATTTTTATTAATAAAATTGACAAAAATTGCTACGAAACAAAACCCCACGACACCGCTCTTACTGCTATGTCACGCAGTCACGATACGCGCGAACGCAATACTTAAATGACAAGTAAGTCGTGAATCATTTTACTGTTGTGGTGTTTAATTAGATATAATTAAAGGAATAATCGACAATTAACGACTGACGATTAAATTAATCGTTAATTCCTTATAACGATTGAATCAATCGTAAATTGCTTACAACAATTGATAATTAAATCAATTATTCATTGCTTTAATACTGCATTATTCTTATTGAATATTATATAAATCATATTTATCTGATTTTAAATTATTTGGTTAATCGTTAGACGTAGTTGTATCATGTCACTAAAAAATAACAATTAATTTAATCAGCTACGGTTAACGAATAATTTAATTGTCAATCGACGCGAGTAAATAGTTTCAGTAATCAACCAATGTTAATTCTAATTAATTTTGACAAATAAATGTTTCATCGCATCGCGTAATCGATTAATTTCGAATTAATAGTCGATTGATGACCACCTATGATTGCTTATTAGCAAAAAAGGTAATTAAAATAAGAAACTATATTTTTTGAATACAACTGCATTTATTAATCCTTATAAAATATTACATGTTCTATTTAAATAAAACTATATAATTTTGTAACTATGCGCTGCTAGAAAAGTTATTTATTTGTCAATTATTAATTATACACATCTTTATAAAAGTATAAAATTTTGTATGTAATGTCTTTATCATAGAAATATATTTTACGCTATATATATATTTTGTATCAACAAATATCTTGTTCTATGACTTTTCTAAAATCAAACACGGGTGCATTACCATTGCTAGGACATATGTTAACGATCGCGTTCACTACCAGCAAATGAAAAAAGTAAGAGAAACAAATCGTATAGAGATACGATTTATTTAATCTTATTTCCGCGTCAGAGTTATTCATATGTAAATATGAAAGTAACTTAGTGGACATTTTTTGTTGTTTTTTAGTAAGTTATTGGTCATGTAAATCCAACCAATAATGAAACACTCTTTATACACAAATTATATCTCTAAAATAGGACTTTCCTTGTTACCTTAGAGATCTTTCAAAATTAATTATACACTTAAAATTAACACCAGATGTCACGATCATTCTTTTTGGTTTTTGGGTCTTCATAATTTTGACCCCCATTTCAATTATTTACTAAGTAAACATATTAATTTGTCATTCTATAAAATAATGAGCATTGTAATGTAAAGGTACAATTTCGCGACAGTGTTTGGTATTTAAAAATACCTTACATATACTGTGTATATTTCTCTAAAATATACGATATAAAATCATGTACTTAACACGTGACGTATATTGTTCCCAAGCTAAGCCATAACGCATTTTACATCGTTCATTGTCCCTAATTGCTCTGTGCATTAACAATGCCGTGCACATAATTGTATAATAATAAGGCAGAATATCACATGCAAAACTTAGAGACGACATCGACCACCACATCATTATATCGCCCAAGTAATTTGGATGCCTCACGTGACCCCATAATCCAGATACTATAAGCTTCGTGCCACGAATCGTTGGAATAGTGTCTAAATCTGTAATAAAATATAAATAAGTATTTTAAATATTTCATACTGGTACAAAAGTATAACGGTTTTATTACTTACGCGCTACTGCAGAAGATAATGGGTTCTTCCTGAATTCATTTTTCTGCGTGTTGCTTATTCTATACACCAAATATCCAATTATAAAAACGAGCGTAGGACACGCAACAAAATAGCTGAACTGTGGTCTGAAAAGAATACGTTTAGTTCGATTTACGTTTTCTTATATTTCTATTTATTCCTTGCTACTTACTTGTTATACAATACATATTTGGTTGTAAGAGTGGCTAAAAATGGAAATAGCATGTAACCAGTACACAGCATATAACCAGTTCCCTCGTACATTATTTCGAAAGTCGTCAAAAATGTTGATTCAAAGAAGAGTGAATCCATTGAATAAATTATTTGCAATGAAGCAACCAACAGAACATTTATATTGAGGTGTTCCGTACTATAACTTTCAGCCTCTTCAATTGCTTTTGTAATAATAGTCAAGTTTATAAGAATCTGAAATTTAAATGTAAATATGTGAGACACGTTTATAATTGCAATGCTTGTTTACAAAATTAATCAGTAGTAGAGTATGTGGATATAAGAAGAAAACACATTTCTGAGAAATTGTTTTCTTTTTTAAATATTACCATAGCTATCAAGGCAGTCCGGAAAATGTTTATTTTAACATCCAATGAACCGATTCGTGGACTTATCTCTCTTCCTTGCCAAAAATTATAAATTACACTCTTCGTGGATCCATGTATATTGAGATTTGCTACTGGGGCTTTGCCTCCCTTTGCGAATAACACTAATGACAAAATTACTCCAATAATCCAACCGCTGATTGAAAGTTGTACAAAATTTTGTATAATGAAATCACTGAATTCGAATTCTTTATATATACATATGATAAATATAATTAACGATAAAAGAGTACATAAAAATCCTGCAAAATAATAAGAACAATTTTATATAAACATTCCGTTCTCAAAATATTCTGAAGCTCAAGAATTAAAGTAACACTACCATTTAAACGATATTGTAATCTTCCAATTCTACTCTGTGGCCCATCAACCTTTCTTCCAATTGGAGTGATCGAAACAATAGTCACGAATAAGAAGAATCCCAAATATGTAGCAAAAGCTTCTAAATTTATGTAAGAATTTAGATCCGTAGGTATATCGGGATACCCGAACTCACACTGATTTTGTGTACACATCATTTGCGGTAATATTGTAATCAGTGGTGTTAAAGATATGAGCATAAAAGTCCCAAACCAACCTCCCCATTCTTGTGGTTCGTTGACCATACTTATTTCTTTCTCACGTTTTTCTATTACTTGTGTATTTACTTTTACAGTTTCTTCGTAATTTATAGGTTTCAACAAATTCTGAAACCAAGTATCGATGTAACTTACGTGTGCTAAGGGTGTGTGGCTAGCCCGAAACTCGGGTTTATATGTATAGTCAAGAAAGATCTCCAATAGATGTCGGGCTCTGCTCCAGTTTTCCGATATCGTAATGGTCGAAGCCCGAATTTCGGGCCACTTGCACACTCCTACAAAACACTAAATAACTTATACATAGAAAAGACATTACTTGATCTTTTTGTACAGAATGCCCTCTTTCTTTCATATCAAAGTTGAAATCGTGCACTAAAACCTTCCTTTCCAACGGGAGCGAGACAGCTCTATTAATATTTCTCGTTAACATAACCATCTTATGGTCCGATTCCGATTTCACTGTAGCAGACAACAGTCTTGTTGACCTACGTGTTACTCCTAGTTCTTTAAATCGAGGTTGCAGAGGCATTGTTTTGAAAAGCTTATCGTTGTCATTTGTACTTTTCTTGTTAATGATATTTTCGTCTTTAGATATATCTATATAGAACAATCACAGACAATCACATTATTTAGTAATATCGAATTTAACAATGATATTAATTGTAAAAAAAAATACATTTACCATTAGGTATTTCTATTTGTGGTAAAATAATTTTTGCAATTTTACTTCGTTGTTTTTTATGTGCAGACGTAGGAGACCTTCCAGGCGAACGCTTGTTTGAAGATTTTCTACTGGGAGAATATCGAGGAGGGCTTTTTCTATTTCTACTACTTGACCTTGTTTTACTTCGAGATGGCCTGCACTTCTAAAATTTTAATTCATTTCAAGATCAAGCACTTTGAGCACATTTCAAGCACTTGGAAGTTTACGCGTTAGAAATAAATACCTTAACGTCGTTTGAATGAACGTTATGTTCGCTGCCTGTTCCAAATTGCACTTTGTATCGTTCGCCACCTGCACTTAATATTTTACCTACTTCATATTCGTCTGTGTTCGGATGTTTAGCAAGTACAAAATCTCCTTCGGAAAACTTCATTTTTCTACCTGTAAATCAATAGTGACCTTTGAAGAACCATTATATAACATAACAGGTAAATGTATCAAATATACAGAAAATTTTATATTGTATAAAAAAAATTGTTCTGTTTATACAAAATTGTTATACTGTATTGTTTTTAAATTCACATTTAAGAACAATATTGTATATTGTTTCGAAACCTTTCGCACTAATACCATCGTATAGAAAGAAAATCATGAATTAAATTTTAACGTATGGAACTATTAATCGACACATTTATACAACTCACGCGTAGGTTTATTCGGACAACACCAATATCTTGTAACGAGATTCCGGCTGGTTTAAAAATAAGAGTGCTTCTAATCGCGAGGTTATAATTAACGCTTTTTTTTTGCATCATAACACGAAGACGCGTACACGCTACGAGTGTTCGGAGATGCATAAAATGCATCCCACGCTGAATAATTGCATACTATACGTTACGATGCATTTACAATGAAACGACTGAAATAAATATTAAATTTTTATCAATAGTTACTTTCAAAGAGTTCGTTACGCTTACAAAATAAAATGTCATTTGAAGAAATGTATAAAAATATAGAAAGATTGTGTTTCAGGGAGAGAACTGGCTGCGACAGGTTTTCCCGTCAACTTGAATACTGGTTTGGATGCATTTACATGACACAGGATCAACTTTTACTCAAGCTTACTAGCAAGGTGAATGAGACTTTAATTTTACTTCGTTTTCTTTTCTTTTCGACAAATGTTTTCAATAAACAATTAGTTATATGATTTTGCAGAATATATGAAATATACGCGAAAGAGCTATATACGTTTCCAAACGATCGATAAATTATTTGCGAAAAACGTCCACGTCGTAAATATCGTTTTTTCTTAAATTTTATATCGCGTCATTTTGATGTGTGAATTTACATATATAATTCCGTAATTTTCAATTCTGTATACTGTGCAGATTCGCCGTTACAGTGGATCATAGTTAACACGATGTAGCATGAAGTTCTAAAATGACCATCGACGCACCGATGCTGTCAGTCCGACAACTGTTGAGAACAACTTATTTACAGTGATACAAAATTCAAACGTGTAAACATGGACACGGATACGCTCCAAGATCAAACGAATTTAAAAGACGAGGAACAATTTTTGGTACGTACGTGACATTTCCTTGACGTTTAAAGTTTACACTTTAATGCTCGGCGACATTATCAATTCTGTGTTCTGCGGTTTGTGTGCCATAAAAATAGAGCCGGAAGTAACTCTAAAGGAAACTCATTTCCGCGTAGTGAGAATGCATTGAAATTTGTTTGTTAGATTTCCGTGGAGAACACTTTGACTACCGTGGAGGACAGTATTCATAATTTTATAAAGGATGTTCCACAAGCTCTCGCTGACTCTGGATTAGATTTTGATTTGGAAAAACTAGTCATAGACGAAGATACAAACATACAACGTATTATCAGTTCGTTCCCGAAGTCATTTACCGACCAAGCGAATAAGGAAGGCATGTGCCCCATTCGATTTATTAGATAGTGTTTCGTAAATTAATTTTACGAAACCTTAAAAAAAAATTCGAACAAAAGGATAATATACAGGGTGTTCGACCACCCCTAGGAGAAATTATAATAGGAGATTCTAGAGGCCAAAATAAGACGAAAATCAAGAATACTAATTTGTCGATGGAGGCTTCGTTAAAAAATTATTAACGTTTAAAGTTCCGTCCGTACTGAATTTTTTTCTAGAAAGTGGGTCGGATTTCGGAGGTAGGTCTGTTCACCAAAAATGGTTGTAATTGACCCTCGCAACTGAAAATAATTTTTCCAGAACGATTTGAAATTTTTTAATTTTGTCGAAAAATTTTACACCTTTCCGAATTTTTTTCTCGAAAGTGGGTAGGATTTCGAGGGTATGTCTAATGACCAAAAATGATCGTAATTGTCCCCCGCAAACAAAAATAATTTTTCGAGAACGATTTGAAATTTTTTAATTTAATTTTTTAATAACTTTTTTAATGAAGCCTTAGTCAAGAAATTGATATTCTTGATTTTCATCTTATTTTGATCTCCAGAATCTCCCATTAAAATTTTTCCCAAGGGTGGTCGAACACCCTGTATACATAAGATTCTACATATTTTAATTTCACAAAGTAAAACTGTTTTTTATTATTCATAGAGGAAAAGAAAAAAGTATCTGCCCTGGAACAGGAATGTGAACGATTGTATATCCAATTGCAACAACAAATAGAGGAGAAAACAAAAGCACAAGAAGAAATAGAGTATCTAAGAGATCAAGTGATTTGTCGTTAATTTAAAATCTAATTTTTACTCACATTCATCGCGTCATTTAACGTATTATTATTATTATTTATAGATTCTGAATCAAAGCACTTACTGTACAAGTTTAGGGGCAGTATTGGGTAATTTAACTTGGCGTGCTTCCAGATTTCCTGAAATCGTTGATGTATGGCTCTCGGCGGTAAACATACTTTTTTTTTGCAAAATTTTATAAACAATACATTTTCCTTCATAATTATCCTGATTGCAGTTTCAGGATAAGATTAGCGAATTTTTATCGATAACGGACGGAAGTTTCGTTGCGTTCATAAATACTTACCGGAATGCTTTCCCCCCCACCAGTAATGTCGAATATCAATTTATAATTGGATTATTGGGCATTGTGACAAACATATCCGCGAGTCCCGAGGGGCGTGAATTTTTAATTACCGATTCGAACGGCAGAGATTTTGTTCAGAAAATGGTGGAGCTGATGCCCACTCTGCCTCTTTCACAGGGTTCCCTTTCTTTAAAGAGGTGAGTTCATTGAAGATTACGCAATCAATTTTCTATATTTCGTCCAATGGTACGAAGACGCGGGTAAACAAACCACGCGAAAATTATACAAGTTATTATTTAGAACAATACATAAAATGTTCTTATAAAAGGAACTTAAGTAATTATTATGCATAATTTAATAATTGTTACAAATTTTAATGAACGTAGTAAAAAGATAACAAGGTTTTCCAAAGATTGCGGTAATAAACCACACCTTTATTTGCTGAGTTTAAATATAATACATTGTCAATAGTCTACTTAAGTTTGAAACGTTAATACTGCATCTATGGTACACTCGCATGTGATTTCGTTTACTCGTGTCTTTAGTCTTGCTGGATGAAGCAGAGATGGGCAAAGTTCTAACTGTTCAATCAAATAAACATTGTGAATAAATTATTATACGTTTGATTTTATTCGAATAAAATCTTGTCCATATCTGGGACTATATTGTTTGACCAAAGACTTTACACGAATCACGCGAAGCATAATGCTTTTATGTTAGCTTCGATTTCTGTTTGAAAGACAGCGAATTCCTGTCTATAGGTTAACGTTTTCTGGTTCCCTGGCGCAACGATGGGTGGCGCCAGGGCTTAAAGGGTGGGGTGACGGAGTAACCAAAGTGTGTGGTGGGGATGGCAGCTCAATGACCTTGAGCGGCCAATATCTTGTTGCCTGACTGCAGTATTGATTTCCTCTCGTTTCTAATCATGACGCATCTTTTTGCAGATTGATGCTCATGATATTGTATAACGTCAGTATGAATAAAACCGGTTTGCAGCATCTGTTCGAGTTACGAGTAGGAGACGTATTGAGCTTTTATCTGAAAAACAATTCGCTACCAGACGAAATACAGTTGCTCTGCTTGCGCGTTTTGCACTCGATTACTTACGGTATCACAAACCCGACATATATTCACGATTTGATCACGACCCTACCGATCGGTAAAATAGAAGACGTCGCGACTTCGAATAAAAACGAAATGAGCAACTGCGCCAAACAGGTTGTAAAACATTTAAGAGACGCGCAGAGGTTCTTAAACTCGAATTAAAATAAGTTTTCTCAATCAGAACCGAGTGTTAATTTTCACGCGGGGGAGAATTGCCAAAATCGTATCACTTAAATATTTTATCATATATTTTTTGTTTGTACGCAAATTAATATTGGAAATTTTATTTAAATCGTTAAGACTCCTGTCGTTACGTGTCAAATATTTTACACGCGAAGAAATTAATTTGTTACAAGCTTTTTATAACATAATGTAAAAGATACGATTTAAGCAATCAATACCCTGAATCGTTTTCCAAAATTGTACATCTTTCAAAAGTATCGGAAATGGAAATAATAAAAAATGTAATTAAGAACAGAAATTATGTATTTTATCGATAAGTAAACTTTTATAAAAACGTAAACACGTAGAATAAAATTGCACCGTTACATTCTTGTGAGGTTATAAGTTATGTATGTAAATGGTGTTTGGTTGTTTCAAATGTTTCTAGCACGCGTAAAACGATATGCTATGAGTAAATTTTGTTCTGTAGTTTTCCTTGTGCAGTTATTTCATGCACTCGCCGCTAGATGTGCTTATATTCAGTAATAACAAAGGCATTAGAGAGACACGATAAACGCAACCGGTACGCATTAGACAACTCTCCCCTATTGCACAAGTAAACGTTGTCAGTAAGGACGAAATTCCATAAATACCATCGGTTCAGGTGTGTTTCAGCAACGCATCGATGATAATATTTACATTCATAGAATTTTTATCTCGTGTTTTCGTTCGAAGCAACACGTTACAACGGTCTGCGATTGCGGTGATGTCAAACATCAGAATATCCTTGGAACATGTTCGTGACTGGTCCGAGAATTGTCGAATATCGATCTGCCTTATGCAGCTATGAAATGAAAGCAATTGCGTGGGATAGCGTACAGGAACGGACCAAATCGATTACGCGTATAGTTATTGTGCAGCAAGCCGTGAACGATTGCATAAATATTTTTTGAACGATTCGACCAATATAGACGTATGTTTACATTTAAAACTTATTTTCTAGAAAACAAAGAATAATACTAACATTTTGTACGTTGCTAAGTGTACGATCTTCCCGAGCCTAAGTGGATATATTTACAAACGTTTGGGATGATGCAATTTGTCACCACCTTCAGGATCTAAGGTTAGAAAATAAAGGTTAGGTTAGGAATAAAGAGGTACGTATACATAAAACAAAAAAACAACAGATATAATTTTTCACATAGAAAGTTAACATAAATTGAATTAGATTATCAAAAACATTGATAAATGTGTATACATATGTGTCTATATTCACTTTGTTCGACAAGTTATTCACAATTGACTATCGTCGATTTTGCATTTCGCATTCATTTTCTTTTTCTCGCATTGATTTAATCCTTTTCCAATTGTCTTAGAAAATCGCCATTGGCACATGGAATGGTATTGACAGAGAAACGAGCTAGAAATGCTCGACTCGTCACTCTAAATTTCAATGTGCATTGGTGGCCTTCAGGTTCGAAGGTTGCGGCAACGCCACAACAGCGAACGCTGCGGTAACTCGTTTCCGAGTCGCAACCCCAGCGAAAACATTTGCACGTGCATACGTGCATTTTGCAGTTCCCAACGATACTGATCTCTTGTTTCGATAAACTTGCAATTACCACTGCATTAAATTACAGCGTACGAACCCGTAGAAAAATGACAAAATTCTCGGAACTTTTAACCTAGCAAGCTGAATCGATATGCTCGAGATCGATATATGCGCCAAGATGCTGCCTGCACGTTTGCAAATAAATCACACAAGATGCCAGAATAAAGATCAATCTCTGTTCAGGTCGAATCGATCCAATGGCTTTTTATCATGCTCGATGTTAATTTGTCTAAAGTGAAAGGTTATAAGTGACCCGATTCGATAGCTGCGACAAAACTATGGAAATCGAATGTAGAAGCTAGGGTAAGATCCAATTACTAGCATCTAAACGATGAGATATGTAAATATGTATATTGTAAATATTTGTTTCAAAACCTAAAAAGTAATTGTAACCTGTATGAGAGTTGATGCAAAAACTTAAACCGATACAGTTCAACTTTGACGTTCTTCATAACCGTTTCGGAACTTTTATGTAACAGTTTGAAACATTTATATTCGGAACCCCGTTTATAAATTATATAACAGTGTTTATACTAATTATAATGAAGAAAATCGTTGCTTTTAAAGCACCATGTTAAAAATTTAACAGCTCCTATCGATCTGTCCATTGTTCCGTGGACGAAGGGTATAAGAGAAACGTGGACTAAACAATCGTTCGCTACCGTGCACAGGTTCCTCGACATTAATATATATTTTGACCTGTGTTCTTTTAAAAATTTGTCAAAATTGGCCGTGCACGAAAATGTACGGCATTATGGGTAATCCGTGAACCGACATGCGGCCTTCCAATGCCAAAAGGTTCCCCACCCCCTGGTGCAGACGCATGGTAATACCGACGCGAGCCATCGCGTCGATAATCGACCTGCGCAGGCTCGTGGGGAGAGACCGCGTGGGGGCGTGCGCGATGGAAGATCGCGCATGCACCGTGCCGTCGTGTCGGCGTCCAAACGGACGAGGAACGGAGTGGGGGCGGGAGGGGCGCGCGAAGGGGAGAGGGGGTACGCGTCGCGACGTTCGGCGTCGCGCAAACGGGAGATCACGGCAGGCAGGCAGGCAGGACCTAGGGAAGGCGACGGCCGGGCGGTCGTTTTATTGATCCCGGGGCGCCGCGGCGCTACCCACCCGCGGCGGGATCGTCTGCGAGAAAATTCTCTTCGACAGGATTTTCACGTTTACCTTTCGAAACTGACATCGCGAAGGAACAAAAAATAAATAAAGAAAGAGAAGGAATCGCGAACGAAACCGAAATCGCGATCGCGTCGTAACCCGGTACGCATCGGTGGGAGAAGGTTCGAAGCGCGGATCGTCGTCCGGTTGGACTCGTCCCGTGCGGGGTGCAAGCGACGTCCTCGTCCTCGTCGTCGTCGGGGTTCGAACGTTTCGAAAACTGGTGCCCGTGGCGGCGGTCGTGTCGCACGGTCTAGTGGGTCGTAAACGAACGGAGGAAGAGAAACTACCGGTGGACCGTATGATCGACGTCTGAGCCGCGGCTCACGGACGCGTCCTCCGACTCGGTGGAGGATCGTTTCGGATCATCGTTGTCGCGGTGGAACACCGATGGACTGAGGGTACGCGGAACACGCCCGGAAGGAGCTGTTGTCGAGCAGCTGCGACTTCCAGGATATCATAAAACGCCGATGGAGAGTATATAGAGGTGTGGGGCGTACCGGACCGCCCGAAGGAGGTGTCATCCGGCTCGTGATCGCGTCGATCTCGCGTCGTTCCTCGTCCCCGGGGACGCGGACACCGGGATCGGTGGCTGTGGGTGCCTAGATCGGTTTAAGACAGTGATAACCGACTTCCGGGTAGGCGCCGCGGCGCTGACATGGGCCCCGCCAGCAGCCGCGAACAGATCGGGGAGCAGATCGGTGACGACGATGGCCTGCAAATTCATCCGAAATCTACGGCCAACAACATCGTAAGTTTCTTTTAAAATTTATCATCGTAAACCCCTTTCTTTGCAGCTGTCACCTTTGTCGATATTTATCGAACGGTTTGCCCTACGAGCTATAACAGAGTCGCTGAAAGTAAAGCCTGACCGAATTCGGTCTGTGTTTCCACATGTAAAGTAGGAGTACCGAACGGCTACGATCTGGCACTCTATTTTCGTCGGAAAACACACGTATTCGCGCATCTGCGCTAAAATTCCCGTGACGAAACGCCCCCGAACGTATACTGGGTAGCTGGACAGATTGCTCCTAAACGCAGTTCGGATTCGGCGATAAAAATTTTTATGAAAAGTTATGGTTTAACATTCCGTATCGTGCGGACTAACGACGTATAGTATTATTATCGGGAAAGCGCATTTTATGGGCGTAAAGACGTATGTATTTCCGTCGCATCGTAAACATCAATTTACGCCTTTGTCAGGGTTGACCTTTACGGTTCCGGGCGATATAGCTTAGAAATAAACTTTTCGAAAATACATATTCGAATTGCCATTCGTGTCGTGCTTCTCCCCGTTCCGGCGTATCTACGAATCGAAACGTTCAGAGCCGTTTGGCCGTATCGCAACGCTTTGGCGGCGCGTTTCATCGCGCCAGTGTCGGGCAGATCTTCATCCGAGCGCGATATCTTGCGCATACTTGGAGTATCAGGGGCGCGCGCGGCTAGAACTTTGTACCTATCGATAGATCGCTTTGTTCGTCGAATCCGTGCGACAGCGTGACTAATGCCTGCGTGGAAATCTGTAGCGGAAGGAAGACGGCCCGTCGTCGCGGCGCAAAGAAAAGAGAAAAAGATAGTCGTACAGAGAGGGATATCGGTGAACAAAGAGGGAGTCTATAAAGCAAAACGAGACGATAGAACACGGAGAAGACTCGGTAAGGGAAATGGAGTGAGATGGAGATTATTCCATAGAGTGGGGAATCGGATGGACTCCACGTCCGCGATGCGATAAGTCAGCCGGTGGTTGAGCAGCGCGCATTTTCATATCGCTCGTTTCTTGTACCGTAGCTGGACGCTGTCCACTCAGGTGGCGCGAGTCCCGCCATCTCTTTTTCTCTCTCTCATTCGTTCACTCACTCACCACGAGGGTGTATTCATCTTCATTCAGATAGAACGTTACCGTCGAACGTTGCTATTGCGCGATGTCACCCAAGAACAAGGTACGTAAAAATTTCTTCAAACTTTTGTCGACCGTAATTTCGTGTAAGGTTCTTATATTTCTCGCGCGCGGCCGTCCTTCGACTGCGCGCACGCACGCACGTAACTTCACGGCCGCTAAGTCGAGATCGTACGCAGATGTCGAATTTCGATCGCGCCCGCGGCACAGACGTATATCCGATGCTGTCCGTGACTGGCAGCGCCTATAACCCCTACGAAGCGGGCGAATCAGGCTATTAACTCCTAATAACCCCGTGGATCACTCGAGTCACATGCCCGTTATTTACATTTTCAACGTTCGACTTAGTTCCATTATCAATGTGTGTCACAATTTTCTACTTTCGTTATCATCGATACTGCGCTCTTAGAGTATTTTATTGATAAAATCAACCGTTCGATTATTTATCGACGTTCCGACCTCAATTATTCGCCTCTTTGCGGCAACTGTCTGAAAATTACTTTTTAGGTTATACTAGAACGTGGATCTTTATTAGTGTACAATAATTTTTTAAAGATATAATATTTGTCGAAATAAAATAAATATTGGATATAAAATTAGAAATTCCTCCGGGTTGCATAGTAAAATCGTACATTCGAACGCGTACACGTTCCAGCCGACCGAACGTCAATTTTCGTTTCGATGTAACAGTATGGTCAACGAAGAGTCTGTTTAAAACTGCTAATTACATTTTCTTGCGCCGGCATAAATACGGTCGGGAAGGTTGCATTTATTAAAATTTAATTACCATTATATCAAAGTTCATCGATGTTCTATAATAATATTTTCCGAATTATAATTTGAGGTTATAAAAGGTTAAATTTAAAAGAATGACCGATCTACCGCGACCCACGTGGACCGTTGCTCGCAACGATCGTTTCGTTTGGTCAAGTTTAGCGCGAATTCGACCGTAATCGGGATTGAAACGACCACGACCGATTTAGTGGGCGTGTTTTCTCATCGTCCTACGAGAACGGAATTTTCGCTTAGCCTCGAAATTCTCGTGACACGATGCATCCTCGGCAAACTTCACGCAACGTTCGCGATATCGCGCGCGGCCGGTTACCGCGGATAACGCGGAATCTCAAGGTAAATAAGAAAATACACGGCACGGATCGGTTTAATCACGAAACACGCGAGTGAAAGTGGCCCGCGTGTTCGCTGGCCAGCGAGAACCATTGATAGCGCAACACGCCGCCAGACAGCCCCCTCTGATATTAATAACGTCGATGCGGAGGGCAGATTTCGCGTATTAAAATCCTCTCGGTTGTTTGGGCGGAGTCGTGTTCCGTTGGCAGCTACATTATTCTTTATACACCTCGTAATTTCTTGGCGTAGACCCGTATCACGTGCCACTTTACAACGTCGTACTCGTACCGAGCCGCGGATTAAGATGTATATACTTTATTACGTGCGAGCATCTTATCTTTAGAGTGTTTGTTGAATTCGTTATCGTTCTGTATCGATGTCGAGTACTTCCCTTATCCCCCGGGCTAGTCGGTCACCGAATATTAGAGCACGCAAACACGGGTATACGTGCCCGCGAATGCGATATTCAGTTACCTCGCCTTGAACACCCTCCTCGTTTATATGTATTTATGACGTGAGTCGATTAACCTCGATATTCGGTACGTGAATCTTAAACGCCGTAACCTCCCGTTAACGAAATGGACGCTCGATTAACGAGATCGATGAACTTGGTCGCGATGGTTCTTTGTGATAGTAGTAAAACAAATAAGCGTCCAATCATTTCGATTGCCTTCGGTGAATTTTCATAATTCCATCGGACCGATTAAAATCGATCAAGTAGGATCGTGTTGTCGCTTGTAGTATCAGCGGGATTATCGATTCCTCGAGCTCGTAACGACCGACGAATTGCAGTTCTACCATCTGTAACTTTTCGAGTAAACATTGTTAAATCTCGAAATAACGTGCGCTCTTTTGGCCCTAAGAGCAAAATACATAAAGCGTACGTTTACTTTGAACCATAAACAAAGGCTAACAAAATTGTTTCGTCAAGTATCTTCGCATTAAAATCAATTCGTATGTCTAAACAATTGCTCGTTTCGTCTCCAGAAATATATAGAAATTATAATTTAAATTTAATTGTTCGTCCGCCCAAGGGAAAAATTTTAATGGGAGATTCTAGAGGCAAAAATAAGACGAAAATCAAGGATACTAATTTGTTGATTGAGGCTTCGTTAAAAAGTTATAGAAATATTTCCGGCCACCCAGTATATTTTCGGTAAAGAATTTTTTTCTCGAAAGTGCGTAGGATTTCGGGGGTATGTCTATTCACCAAAAATGATTGTAATTGATCCCAGCAACTGAAAATAATTTTTCTAGAATGATTTGAAAGTTTTTTTTCCGTTGAAAAATTGAACACCTTCTCGAATTTTTTTTTAGCAAGTGGGTAGGAATTCGGAATTGTTCTATTTACAAAAAATGATTGTAATTGACCCCTGTAACTGAAAATAATTTTTTCAGAATGATTTGAAAGTTTTTTTTTTTTGTCGAAAAATTTCACAGCTTGAATTTTTTTCTCGAAAACGCGTAGCAATTCGGGGGTATGTCTATTGACCAAAAATGATTGTAATTGATCCCCACAATCGAAAATAATTTTTCCAGAATTATTTGAAACTTTTTAATTTCACCGAAAATTTTGTCCACCTACTCGAATTTTTTTCTCGAAAACGCGTAAGAATTCGGGGGTATGTCTATTCACCAGAAATGATTATAATTAACCCTCGCAACCGAAAATAATTTTTCCGTAATGATTGGAAATTTTTTAATTTAATTTTGTTAATAACTTTTTAACGAAGCCTTAATCAACAAATTGATATTCTTGATTTTCGCCTTATTTTGGCCTCTAGAATCTCGCATTAAAATTTTTCCCAGGGAGGTCGAACACCCTGTATGTTTGTAACTAATGTCTTAAAATGGTTTGAATTATTCGGATACAACATATATTCTGAATTTTTTAAATTTATTCTTATTGTCAACCTTCTCTATTGAAGAGTATACCAAACGTATAATGCCACTATGCTATAATTAACTACATCGTTTACTTCGAAATTCTTCTACTTTTCGATTACTGTTTCCGATCTCATAGCTTCGTTTTAATACCAGTTTTCTTATGCGACCACGCGTAGAAATACTTTTTCCTCGAACCTATAAAATTAGAATCAGTCAGCTTTTTCCCGCGATTTCATATTTTTGTTTTAATACTTTATCGCGCGAAAGTCCGATATAAAAGTAGTCTAAGTTGAAAAAATGTTTACACATGTATAAAATTTTATCGAAACGAACGACGTGAAACTGTGATTTGCAAATCCCTGGTAATCCTCGAACGCGTTGAGGAGAGTCCACGAATTTTCAGAATCTAGAAGAAAAAAATATATAGCGAAATATAAAAGAATTTTTCAAGTAATATTATATTTATAAACACTTGGTAAATAATTTCCCAGAATATTTGTCTCATTAAATTTAGATTTGTTTTATTTTGCATATACTTTTATCAACATTCTTAGTCACGTTTCATTCTGGTAGTGCTAAAATTAATACGAGATAGCAACTTTTACTGGATATTACACTTACAATGAGATCATTTTACATGAAAGCCAACAAGAATTTTTACAGACAAAAGACGCAGATTATTTTGATATTTACCAACGCAGATATACCGAAGATTAAATAAAATTCAATTCATTGTTTTTTTTTCTTTGAGTCTATAGTAATGGAACAAAAGCGCGTGAAGACTGAACATGTTATCGACGAGACAATTCGTTGAGATTATGATAATGAGAGCGGGTACG